TCTCTCTCTTTTATCTCTCTCTCTTTTATCTCTCTCTCTCTCTCTCTCTCTCTCTCTCTCTCTTTTATCTCTCTCTCTCTTATCTCTCTCTCTCTCTTTTCTCTCTCTCTCCCTCTCTTTTATCTCTCTCTCTCTCTCTCTTCTATTCTCTCTCTCTCTCTCTCTGTCTCTCTCTCTGTCTCTCTCTCTCTCTCGTCGTGGGTCCGCTCCGGTCGGTGTAATGACCCCCCGTGGGACCGCGGGCCGCCCCTTTGAGCGTCTCGTTCAAACACTCGTCTTTCAAACACTCGTCTTTTCTCTCGGTGTTTTTCTCTCCGCTCAGAAGTGACTCCCTCGAAAAAATATATCGACTAAAAATATCCGCGACATCGTCCGACACGAGACGACGAAGAGGAAGAGGAGGAAGAGGAAGAGAGGAAGGAAGAGGAGGAGGAGGAGAGAGGAGGAAGAGGAGGAAGAGGAGGAGGAGGAGGAGGAAGAAGAGGAAGAGGAGGAAGAGGAGGAGAGAGGAGGAGAGGAGGAGAGGAGGAGGAGGAAGAGGAGGAAGAGGGAGGAAGAGGAAAGAGGAGGAGGAGGAGGAGGAGGAGGAGAGAGGAGAGAGGAGAGAGGAGGAGAGGAGGAGGAGAGAGGAGGAGGAGGAGGAGGAGGAAGAGGAGGAGGGAGGAGAGGAGGAGGAGGAGGAGGAGAGGAGGAGAGGAGAGGAGGAGAGAGGAGGAGGAGGAAGAGGAGGAGGAGGAGGAGGAGGAGGAGGAGGAGGAGGAGGAAGAGGAGGAGGAGGAGGAGGAGGAGGAGGAGGAGGAGAGGAGAGGAGAGGAGGAAAGGAGAAGAGGAGGAGGAGGAGGAGGAGAGAGGAGGAGGGAGGAGGAGGAGGAGGGAAGGGAGGAGGAGGGAGGAGAAGGAGGAGGAGGAGGAGGAAGGGAGGAGGAGGAAGAGGAAGGAAGAGGAGGAGAGAGGGAGGAAGGAGGAGGAGGAGAGAGAGGAAAGGAGGAGGAGGAGGAGGAGGAGGAGAGGAGGAAGAGGAGGAAGAGGAGGGAGGAGAGGAAGAGGAGGAGGAAGGAGAGAGGAAGAGGAGGAGGAGAGGAGGAAGAGGAAGGAAGAGAGGAGAGGAGGAAGGAGGAGGAGGAGAGAGGAGAGGAGGGAGAGGAGGAGAGGAGAAGAGGAGGAAGAGGAGGAGAGGAGGAGGAGGAAGGGAGGAGAGGAGAGGAGGAGGAGGAGGAGGAGGAGGAGGAGGAGGAGGAGAGGGAGGAGGAGGAAGAGGAGGAGAGAGGAGGAGAGAGGAGGAGGAGAGGAGGAGAGAGAGGAGGAGGAGAGAGGAGAAGAGGAAGAGGAGGAGAGGAGGAGAGAGGAGGAGAGAGGAGGAGGAGGAGAGGAAGAGGAGGAAGGAGGAGGAGAGGAGGAAGAGGAGAGGAGAGGAGGAGGAGGAGAGAGGAGGAGGAGGAAGAGGAGGAGGAGGAGGAGGAGGAGGAGGAGAGAGGAGGAGGGAGGAGGAGGAGGGAGGAAGGAGGGAGGAGGAGGAGGAGGAGAGGAGAGAGAGGAGGAGGAGGAGGAAGGAGGGAGGAGAGGAGGAGGAGGAAGAGGAGGAGGAGGAGGAGGAGGAGGAGGAGCGATGATAAAAACCTTTGACCTAAGACACTTTTTGTGACAAGGTCAAAATATTTTTTGTATTTTATGAGTTTATGTTGTAAAATCCCTCAGTCCAAAACAAAAGAAAATTCAGTTTAGAGTTTAAACGTGAGAAAACACAGAGTTTAGAGTTTAACATGAGTTTAAACAGAGAACACAGAGTTTAGAGTTTAAACGTAAAAAACATACACAGAGAGAGTTAAAACAGAATACAGAGTTTAGAGTTTAAGTTTAAAAACAGAGTTTAAACATGAGAATACACAGAGTTTAGAGTTTAAACGTGAGAATACACAGAGTTTAAACGTGAGAAATACACAGAGTTTAGAGTTTAAACGTTGAGAATGAGTTTAACACAGAGTTTAGAGTTTAAACGTTGTAGAATACACAGAGTTTAGAGTTTAAACGTGAGAATACACAGAGTTTTAAACGTGAGAATACACAGAGTTTTAGAGTTTAAACTGAGAATACACAGTGAGAATACACAGAGTTTAGAGTTTAAACGTGAGAATACACAGAGTTTAGAGTTTAAACATGAGAATACACAGAGTTTAGAGTTTAAACGTGAGAATACACAGAGTTTAGAGTTTAGATGTGAGAATACACAGAGTTTAGAGTTTAAACGTGAGAATACACAGAGTTTAAACGTGAGAAAACACAGAGTTTAGAGTTTAAACGTGACAATATACAGAGTTTAGAGTTTAGATGTGAGAATACACAGAGTTTAGAGTTTAGATGTGAGAATACACAGAGTTTTAGAGTTTAAACGTGAGAATACACAGAGTTTAAACATGAGAATACACAGAGTTTAGAGTTTAAACGTGAGAATACACAGAGTTTAGAGTTTAGATGTGAGAATACACAGAGTTTAGAGTTTAAACGTGAGAATACACAGAGTTTAGAGTTTAGATGTGAGAATACACAGAGTTAACGTAGAGCTGGGGCTGAGTCTCGGTGAGGCTAACCACTCTGCCGCCGCGGGCCTGTGTAATCGTTGTGAAGGGGCAGATGATTTGTCCTGAGTTTTGTCTGACAGGCGTTAAACCGGATCAGGACACGGTTCCGAGGACAGAGCCGAGGTCAGGAGACCAACTCCGCCTCTCGCAGCAAAACACTTACACACTTTTCACACAGATGCCCTCCCCGACACAGGCCCGCCTTACTGCCTCACTTTAGTCCTGGTTTAGCCCTGGTGTTTAGTCCTGGTTTAGGTTTAGTTCTGGCTCAGTGTTGATTCAGTCCTGGTGTAGTCCTGCTTCAGTACTGGTTAAATTCTGGTTTAGAGATTTAGCCTCGGGTTTAATCCTAGTTTTATCCTGGTTTAGTCCTAGTTCAGTTCTAGTTTAGTCCTGGTTTAGACCTGGTTTAGTCCTGCTTTAGCCCTGGTCTAATCTTGGTTTAGTCCTGGTTTAATCCTTTGTTTAGTCCTGTTTTTTTTTACACCTGATTTAGAGGATTAGCCCTAGTTTAGACCTGGTTTAGACCTGGTTTAGTTCTGGTTTAATCTGGGTTTAGAGTGCAGTAAAATTATTTTTGTATGCACAGTTAAACCAAACAAGGACTAAACCAGGACTAAACCAGAACTAAACCAGGACTAAACCAGGACTAAACCAGGACTGAACCAGGTCTAAACCAGGTCTAAACCAGGACTAAACCAGAACTAAACCAGGACTAAACCAGGACTGAACCAGGTCTAAACCAGGTCTAAACCAGGTCTGTAGAATCTGATTTTATCTTAATGTATGATAAGAGAAGGTGTCATGTTCTGTTGTTTTTGTCAGGGCGTGGTTTGACTGTAGGGGGCGTGGTTTGGCTGTAGGGGCGTGGCTTGGCTGTAGGGGGCGTGGTTTGGCTGTAGGAGGCGTGGTTTGGCTGTAAGGGGCGTGGCTTAGTCGTAGGAGGCGTGGTTTGGCTGTAGAATTGTCACAATAGCTGAATAGTTGAAACAGGTGAGGCTCTATCAGCGCACGGTGAGTCTGAGTTTTTATCTGAACTTAAAAAATAAAAAATATAAATATAAATATAAAAAATGTATTGTAAAAGTGATAAAGAATTCTGAAACTTCACCTGGATTTGAAACATTTGAACCAGTTTAGGTATATTTACTTTAGTTTAGGTTTATTTACATGTGTAAATAGTTTATTTATTTAAATTACTTTGGATTATTTGATGTAAATTTGATGTAAAAAACAAACAAACAAACAAACAAAAAAACAACAACTTTGACTCAATATTTTGGATTAAATATTTCTTGGTTTAGGTTTAGAGTCCTGGTTTAGTCCTGGTTCAGTCCTGGTTTAGTCATATTTGACTTTAAACAGAAACACAACGAAAGAAATCAGAGAAAATAAACTTAAGGAGTAAATAAATTTGATTCTGAGCGTTATTAAGTATTAATGAACATTATTTCACAGGTGAAATTCTGATTTCTCTCACGTCAACAAACAGATCATTTAACAAAAACAAACCAGCTGAAACTAAAACAAGTTTGAGCCGATCGATAAAATGTAATGTGGATTTTAGAACATGCCACAGAAAGGAATGAAAACAAAGACACAGCTGACACACAAGGTCAGCGGAGGGGAGGGCATCTGACACACGGGGAGAATGGTAAGAGTGAAGTGAGCAGAGTTTAATATTCTTGTGACCTGTTGGGGAATTTTAATTTACTTTTTGTCTTTTTCATGTGTAAATTTCTCACCATTTCTGCAGTATTAGAGATATTTGGATGATTCTTTCTTACAATTTATAGTGACAGGTCTAAACCAGGTCTAAACCAGGTCTAAACCAGGTCTAAACCAGGTCTAAACCAGGCCTAAACCAGGCCTAGACCAGGTCTAAACCAGGTCTAAACCAGGCCTAGACCAGGTCTAAACCAGGTAAACCAGAAACCAGGTCTAAACCAGGTCTAAACCAGGTCTAACCACCAGGCCTAGACCAGGTCTAAACCAGGCCTCCAGGTCTAAACCAGGTCTAAACCAGGTCTAAACCAGGTCTAAACCAGGCCTAGACCAGGTCTAAACCAGGTCTAAAACCAGGTCTAAACCAGGCCTAGACCAGGTCTAAACCAGGTCTAAACCAGGCCTAGACCAGGTCTAAACCAGGTCTAAACCAGGTCTAAACCAGGCCTAGACCAGGCCTAGACCAGGTCTAAACCAGGTCTAAACCAGGTCTAAATCAGGCCTAGACCAGGTCTAGACCAGGTCTAAACCAGGTCTAAACCAGGTCTAAACCAGGTCTAAACCAGGCCTAGACCAGGTCTAAACCAGGTCTAAACCAGGTCTAAACCTGGTCTAAACCAGGTTTAAATCAGGTTTAAATCAGTTCCAAACCAGGTCTACACAAAATTCAAAGAAATTAATGAGATTCTAATATTTGACTGTGGAGGGCGTGGTTTGTCCAGTAGAGGGCGTGGTTTGCCAGTAGAGGGCGTGGTTTGCCAGTAGAGGGCGTGGTTTGCCAGTAGAGGGCGTGGTTTGGCTGCGTTTGATTACATTCCGACTCTTGGACCTCACATTTGATGTCATGTTCGTAAGTGTATTATTCTGTTTCGTATGTGGGACTACGTGGATTCTGATTCTGATTATTCCCTCATTTTATGAAAACAATGACACTTTAATTCATTTAATTTTTAAATTTGCACTTTGGGATCCTTTGGGATCTTAAGGCTCATTAAATCAAGTATTTGTTCAGTGTTGGTCTCACCGCAACACGACTCCCAAACCCACAGGCAGTAGGATGTAACAATAACAGAAATATCGTGATATCGTATCGTCAAAGTTCTCATAATAATATCGTGAACCATCACAATATATCGAATTACAAGTCTGTTTACTTAAATTGAGAGTTACGGTGCAGAAATAGCTGAAAAAAGAGAGACGGAACTACATAGACCATGATCCTTTGCTCCATTCGTACCAATACTAATGCTCCATTAGCATTCTTGCTATAATCTGGCATATTTACACTGCAATGTTGTAGATGTTCATTAATATGCACTGTCCCTATTCAATAAATAAATAAATAAAATAAATTTCAGTGCAGACGACAAGAAGAAATAACAGTTCTAACACTTTTAACTCTTAGTTCTTTGGATTAAATCTTGTCAAGGTGTTTTAAAAGGAAAATGAAGCATCCTGACAGGTTTAGCTGTTTGCCTCCACAAAATATCACAATAAATATCGTATTGTGAGATGTACATCGTGAAAATATCGTACAGAGAGATTTGGATATTGTTACATCCCTAATTGTAAGCTTTCCCACGATATCGCAATAAATATCGTACCATGAGGTTCATACTGTGACGATATCGTATCATGAGACTCGGGTATCGTTTAACTCCTACAGGCAGTGATACAGATGCAGTAAAATACTGCAGTGATACGAGTGTCTGAAATTGTCATTTAAACACCAAAGTTTCCAAACACAATGAAAACACTTCACATTTACACGTCACAGTGGACGGAGGGTCTTGAATTCTGACTCGGAATCTTTGTTTGTTTGACTTTTTCCGCCACCGAGTTTTGAGTTGCACCGTCCCAGGAAAAGGGGCAACTTCCTCGGAAAATCGATTCAGAAGAATAATCGAACGCAGGAAAATATCTCAGGTGAAAACGTGGGACAGGTGAGACTGGCGGTGCACAGTTTTTAACAAAACTTTTATCAAACTGAAAAAAGAAAAATCTGTGAAAAAAAATTCTGAACCTTCACCTGGATTTGAAATATTTAGACCAGTTTAAGGTAATTTACTTTGAGTCTTACTTTTTTTTTTTTTGAGATTTACTTTTGATTTATTGAGATTATTTGATTTCCTGTAAAAAAAAAAAGACTGAATTCAATATTTTGTCCTTCCTGTTTCTCAATTTAAGTTAAGTTTTTCATATTTGACTTTAAACGGAAACACAACAAAACAAGTCAAAGAAATGAATCTTTGGAGTGAATAAATCTGATGTGGACGTTGTTTTTTCACAGGTTGAATTATGATTTCTCTGATGTTTGAAAATAAAACTTCAGTTGATTCTAAAACAAGTTTCAACCTGTCAATAAAAATAGAAAGTGCAATCTATCGCACGCCACAGAGAGGAATGTGGACAGACCTGATGCCAACACACAGGGAGGGCATCTGATATGTTTGTCTTGTCTTTTTCAGGAGGATGGAGGACGCTCCTCTGGACACAGATGAACCTTCTGTGTCTCTCAGGTCAGTCTCTTTAAGATGGTTCCTTGGTTGGATGGTTCCAAAAATGTTTTCTTAATGTGTAACCTCTGACCTCTTTGTGACCACTCTCTGACCTCTCTCTGCAGGGACCATAGAACTATAATAAAAAATAAATAATATCTGTAGGTGAATACAAGATGTGTTGTTTTCAGTGGCCTTTGCTCATTGGGGCATCGCGCCAATAAAGATTTTTACTTCCTCATTCCTTGTTGAATATTTGCCTTACGCCGCAAAACGTGACGTCAGAAACATGCAGCTCTGAAAAATCTGAGCGAGAGCTGCTAAATCAGAGCGAGTGCTGCTAAATCAGAGCGAGTGCTGCTAAATCAGAGCGAGTGCGGGCTCAGAGTGGGGCGAGGCTAAGTCTTACAAAGCGAACTTTTACGAGCTTTGAAGATTTAAACAGTTTAAAAAGCGAATATTGTAAAAATACAAAAGAATCTCTACAAAATCCAGCCTTTATGAAAGCTGGATGTCCTGTCAGCTGAACACGGGCAGATTGATTTCATAAAAAATGCATTGTGCTCTATGGGAGAATTCTTTCTGGGCCGAAGCTTCCGAGAGCAGAAATACCTGGAGCGGCCACTAATTAATCGGCGAGAGGGAGCGTGTCCATGGCAGAGATACAGACCAGTCAAAACCTGGGCCCAGCTCTCAGTCTTTAAACTCCTGAATTCTTCAAACAGAAGGACCAGACTGGAACCAGGTGAGGACTCGATCCAAACCAGACTGGACCAGATCACCAAAAACACCAAACAGTGCAGTGCATCGCTCTGTCCTCTGAGATACAAGATTCTCATATTAAAGGAGCTTAAGATGTTAATTAAGATGGCCTGAACCAACGCCCCAAAAAATTGGCAATAGATTTGGCATGAATCAATTGAACATTTAAGAGAACAGATTTTGAGTAATGTCAGTTCTGATACTCAAAGGTAAATCAGAGGCGTGATTTGGCTGTGGCGTGTCATGTCTCAGGTGAACAGCTTGGACAAGCTGAGACTCTGTGGACATACTGACTTGTCAAAGTCTGATCCCATCAGATCTCAGAGGCTCAGCAGGACTGGGCCTGGTTAGTACTTGGATGGATCTGATTCTGAGCTTATGATTTCTCTGATGTTGACAAGTGTTATATTTAACAAACACAAAACTTCATTTGGATTTAAAACAAGTTTAAACCTGTCAATAAAAATAAAATGTTTTTCCTGTCAATAAAAATAAAATGTTTTTCCTGTCAATAAAAATAAAATGTTTTTCCTGTCAATAAAAATAAAATGTTTTTCCTGTCAATAAAAATAAAATGTTTTTCCTGTCAATAAAAATAAAATGTTTTTCAGGAGGATGAAGAGCTCTGTGAAAGTGTCGATCCAATACAAAAGTGGACATCCGTCTCTGTGTCTAAGGTGAGTATTTTTCTGATGTTTCCTGCAAACACCACAAATATTCAGACTGGAGCCCCAACAGGGCGTAGGGCCAATTATCATCTACTGTCTTAACAGATGCACCAGCATCAATGCAGTAACCAAACACACACCATTTTTGTGACTTCTGAAATGAAATGAAGTCAGTGGGAAGTCACTAGGAGACCAAGGCTCATCATTCCCCTTAACCTTCTCCACAGTGACATGAGGAAGGTCGAAAGTCATACCTAACCATAACAGTCACTATTGACTGGCATTGAGTGTTTGATAAGGGAAGAGCGCTTGGGGCGAACAATAACAATTAGGCCGCTGTCGCGGCTCACGGGCGATGCCAGCGTGCCATGTCAGCGGGCTCCAGTCACTGACATGAGTGCCAGTCTGTGTGTTTGGAAGGGGGAGAGCGCTTCACGCTCTGTTTCCGTGCGAACAATAACAATAGGCCCTACGCCACCCATGGCGCTCAGACCTAATTACAATCATAGTTAAATACAGGATGATTATTGGTCTCTATAAAAACTGGACACTTATCTGTATATGAGTGGATCCTGACGTATCACCTGCTGCTATGTTCACATAACAGCAGGGAAATGATTTATAACAACACAAACCTCCCCCCTACTGTTACCCTTCCCCTCCTGCTATTGTCTCCGGAGGGTAAAACGGTTGGTCTGATGGGTTTTGCAGTCACAGTTGCCTGTTTGGACAGTTTGGCTCCCTTCTGGTGCTCATGTCCTTCTGTGCTGTGCTCATGTACTTATCCATGTGATCCTCTAGCATCACTGCTGCTGAAGTGTAGATCAGCTCATTGGTTTCAGTGATGGTTGTGGTGGGATTCGCTCTCAGTGGTGCATTCACATCTTCTAGGAGACTTTCAGATGGTACTTCACTTTGCCTCTGTAACTGCAGCATTTGTGTTGTACCTCGTCAATCTCTAGTTGTGATGCAGTTGCCGTTTGTGGATGTTGGAACACTGAGTTACTAGTTGTTTGGCCGTTAGCCTGGACTGTTGGTATCAAAGTGACCATTTCTCCCATATCCTGATATATCCATGTTTACCTATATATCTATATCTATGTCTATCTATCTATCTATCTATCTATCTATCTATATAGATAGATAGATAGATATGGGATGCAATGAAATTCTATATAATATTGAATGGTTTGATACTGGTGTCACGATTCGATACACTCGTCGATACTCATGTCACTCCAGGCCTCTGTGTTATTATTTATTTTGGTCCCAAAGAAAATCAGTTCTCTTGGCGTCCTCCTCCGATGCAGCAGAAAACAGCTCCATGGGGACTTACATCTGAACTATTCTAACAGAGGAGAGTTTGATCTTTCACTCACTTTTTGTTTTATGTTGATAGACTCAGAAATGATAAAGAAATTCACTTTTAAATTTTTTAGAATCAATTTTGGCTTCACATTGGCTTTAATCAAATGGACTCGTATATGCGCTCCCACCGCGACTCACGATATACGTGATCTTTTACTCAGGCTCTGTCTCATAAATTTTACTCAGAAAACGTCTGTGAGACATTTCTATGTGATATAACAAAGTTTGAGTGTCCAGAAAGAGGATGGGAGAGCACAGTTTGTCACAGACTGTAGGGGGCAGTGTGGGAGGAGCTACGTACTGTCTCTGCTGGAGGGGGCGGAGCCAAGGACACAGACGTGTAACGCAGAGAGTCTCAAGAGGAAACAGAGAGGTCTTCAGGAAGCCCACACACATGGACCAGTACCTGCTTTTTGATTCTCACCACCCACTGCAGCACAAACTTGGAGTTATTCAGCCACTACAACACAGGGCTCAAGTGTTTCCTACAAGCACAGGGGGAAAGGAGAAAGAAGAACAACATGTGCAGAAAGTCCTCTCTGTTTGCGGAGATCCAAAATGGGCCTTCAACAAAACCAAGAGAACTAAAAAACAGGACAACAGAGAATCTGAACCCAGGAGAAAGGGGGTAACTATTCCGTACATGGCTGATGTTTCTGAAAAACTACAGAGGATTTTCAGACAACATGAGATCCTGGTCTATTTCAAACCTACAAACACTTTAACAGAAACTGGTCCAACCCAAAGGACAAAACACCGAGTCACAAACAAAGCAATGTGGTCTACTTCATTCAGTGCAGTGAGGACTGCAGTGAACGCTGCACTGGAGAAACTAAACAGACACTTCACAAGAGGATGAACCAACACAGACGAGAGAACAACACAGGACCACAGTCTAATGTACATCTCCACTTAAAAGCCACGGGCCACTCGTTTGAGGAGAGCGAGGTACAGATTTTAGCCAGAGAAAAGAATTGGTTTGAGAGGGGAGTGAAAGAAGACATTTTTGTTAAGAAAGAGAATCCTTCTCTAAACAGACATGGAGACCTCAGACACCAACTATCTCCTATTTACAACTCCATCCTCAAACCTAAATCAAAACTAACAAGAGAACAACAGGTGTAGTCAGGTCAGGTCCAGAGGTGAGGGAGCACAATTATGGACATGAATTGTTCTGATAATTAGACCCCCACACCCTGTACAGGTCTATAGGCCGAACTAACAAACAGAAACTGTAAACAAGTAGGTGTGTGAGTTTCAGTTAGTCAGCTCCTCCCTGCAGATAGAAGGAAGTGTCCACCAGCGTCTGACCAGAACTGAAGAAGCAGCTTGGATGAACTGTGAAACAGATTCAACCAAACTAACTTTTGTCCAGTCGTCAAACAGAATTTTCTCCTCGAAATGGATTCTACCTGGACGACTGAGGGATCCTTCACACGTAATGCTATGTGCTTTAAACCAACTTCATTTGGTAAAATCTAGTATGGAATTATATGTGGGCAGTGGTCTGATTATGAAGCAAGTATCTGGTTAAAAAGGGTTTAAGATTTACAGAAATTGCTTTTCTGTAGGAAATAGTCTTCATGTTTTACACTCAAAATGATTATTTTTTGAAACATTAACTTTGTTTTAAGCTCTGACACAAACTCCAGACCTGACCCTGTTCCAAGAGGAATGTCGATCAAGAGCGACTCCTCCATGAGGAAAGCCCTTTTCTTCAATAAAGAACCCTTCTCAGCCAATCAGAGGTGAGACCAGACCACATTTTACCAAATTAAATTACATATCTCCAATGTGCATTTGTAAATGCAAAAATCTAAGGTTCAGCCTCTTTAAAAATGGATTAATTCACTTTTAAAATGAAGACACCTGAAACTGTTTTGTTCAATTAGCTTTTCTGGCCTGAATGCTTTATTGACTGGACAGTTCAAAGGTAGCAACAAGATCACTGAGATGGTCCCAAGGCAAAGGACAAATTTTCTCATGGGGACAATAAGTCTCAATTAACCTCAACCTGTTATAATATGAGATGGGGTGAGACAGGATAGAAACATTCAGCAGCAGACAGTAAAGGCCTGGAAGCAAACCCTAAATCACTCCACCACTGAAAAACACCACAGACTCAACAAACTCAACAAACAAGTCTTCTCAGCTTAAACTGTCTTCACTATGAAACTAACCACTTAACTTTGTTTTAAGCTTTGTGGCAGAATCCAGACCTGACTCTGTTCCCAGAGGAATGTCGATCAAGAGCGACTCCTCCATGAGGAAAGCCCTTTTCTTCAATAAAGAACCCTTCTCAGCCAATCAGAGGTGAGAACAGACCACAATTTAATCATTTAAATTAGGTATTTAAATTATGTATCTGTATCTTTTGCGGGAATCCCATCATTTCAGTGAAGATGTGAAAAGTTAGATTTGAGTAAAATGTTCAATGTTCTTGTGACCAGAAAGTCACACAGCACTGATTCTCTAAAGGTTTGAACGACTTTGAAGTCCAGATAGAACTTATTTGCTGTGAAATCTGCCACCTCATGCAAAATAATACAACCTCAAAGACCGTGGCAGTGGTCTTCTGGAATAAGGTGAATAAATGGGGAGAGGAGGGTACAGACATTTGAAAGTGAACCAACCACACATGTGGCACATCTTAAACCACCACACCACCACATGCACCACTGTACTCATTCTAATCTGTTCAGCTCAAACTGTTTTCACTACACAGCTAACCACCTTTAATGCTAATAAGTAGTTATAACATAATTTATACACCAGGGCTGGGGAGTCCCAAAGGGTTTCAAAAAGCCTGAATGCAAAACATATCATAGATGGTATTCCACAAATTAATTAAGCTTTTCTGGCTCCTCTCCTGTTTAGTCACATTATTAAAAACATCATAAGCTCAGTGATGTTGGTCAGTTGGTCTGGACTTCTCACTTTGATCAGAATAAGGTTTATTTCTTTCAACGTCTTGAGGCCTAAACTGCAGATGGAGCAAGTTTTAGCTCAGGATAAGCCTGGATTTGTTAAGCCACTTCGATGGAACACCTCCTCCATACAATTCTTTATTGACTATTCTGTTTTTACAAATGTCAGAGAACTCTGCTGCTGATGAGAGGTAACATTTAAAAAGGACTTTTTTTTTTTTTACTTTTTAATTTCACAGAATTCAGAGATTAAACTGTACCTATGTTTTCAGCAGTTTTGAAGAGACACGCCCACAGCTTCAGCACAGTGACTGTGATAGTGGATTTGTTTTTAAGGTGAGAGAAAGATAAAAAAAAAACAACAAAAAAAAAACTTGGCTGCACTTGAGTGATTCTCATTCTCTTATGTTACAGAAACTCGAGGAATGCATTGTAAGTTTTGTGCGAAATGAGCTGAGAAAGTTACAGCAAGTTCTAATGGCAGAGGGACCAGAGTCTTTGGCACTCATGGAGGATGATGATGCAGGAATTAAAGAGGCCTTTCTGAAAATCGCACTGAGCTTCCTGAAAAGTTTGGAGCAGGACGAGATCGCTGACCATCTGCACAACAGTGAGAGGCTTCAGTTTGAGATCTGTTATGACTCTTTATGTCAGTGTGTGATTTCTTATTTTCATTTCTGTTCCAGGACAATGTGCTTCCAAATGTCAACGTGAAATGAAGTCTGATCTGCAGCAGAGGTTCAGTCGAGTGTTTGAGGGCGTGGCTAAAGCAGGAGACTCCGCCCCCCTGACCCAGATCTACACAGAGCTCTACATCACAGAGGGCGGAGCCTCAGAGGTCAACCAGGAACATGAGGTCAGACTCATGGAGACGGCGTCCAGGAGACCGGCCGCTCCAGAGACCATCACATGTGAAGAGCTCTTTAAACCCCGCCCACATTCACCACAGCCAATCAGGACGGTGCTGACGAAGGGCGTGGCCGGCGTGGGGAAAACAGTGCTGACTCAGAAGTTCAGTCTGGACTGGGCTGAAGGCCGGGCCCACCAGGACCTCCAGCTGCTGTTCCCCTTCACTTTCAGAGAGCTCAATGTGCTCAGAGACACACAGTTCAGCCTGGTGGAGCTGCTGCACCACTTCTTCAGTCCATCCAAAGATCTCAGCAGCTTCCAACAGCTCCAGGTGCTCTTCATCTTTGACGGTCTGGACGAGTGCAGACTTCCTCTGAACTTCAAACAAGCCCGGGTCCTGAGCGACCCCACAGAGTCCGCCTCAGTGCAAGTGCTGCTGGTGAACCTCATCAGGGGGAAGCTGCTTCCCTCCGCTCTCCTCTGGATAACCACGCGCCCCGCCGCGGCCAATCAGATCCCTGCTGAGTTCATCTCCATGGTGACAGAGGTCAGAGGGTTCACCGACCCCCAGAAGGAGCAGTACTTCAGGAAGAAACTCAGAGTCCAGGCCACAGCCGTCATCTCCCACATCAAGAGCATCCGCAGCCTCCACATCATGAGCCACCTGCCGATCTTCTGCTGGATCCTCTCCACAGTTCTACAGAAGCTTCTGGAACAAACAAAAGAACCAGAGCTGCCCCGGACTCTCACACAGATGTACGTCCACTTCCTGGTGGTGCAGGCCAAAGTCCAGAACATCAAGTATCACCAGGGATCAGGGGAGGACCTTCACTGGACTCCAGAGACCAGGGAGATGGTGAAGTCTCTGGGAAAAGTGGCCTTTGAGCAGCTGCAGAAAGGAAACCTGATCTTCTACGAGAGTGACCTGAGCGAGTGTGGGCTGGACGCTGCAGCGGCCTCACGGTACTCTGGAGTGTTCACACAGGTCTTTAGAGAGGAGCCAGGTCTGTACAAGGACAAGGTCTACTGCTTCATCCATCTGAGTGTGCAGGAGTTTCTGGCTGCTCTTCACGTCCATCAGACCTTCACTGAGTTTGGGGTCAATCTGCTGACGGTCAAAACACCTTCAGTCTTCTCAGAAGTATTCAAAAGTAAATCTAAACTATCAGGTCTCCACAGCTCTGCAGTGGATGAGGCCTTACAGAGTCCAAACGGACACCTGGACCTGTTCCTGCGCTTCCTCCTGGGGCTGTCTCTGCCGACCAATCAGAAGCTGCTGCAGGGTCTGCTGACTCACACAGGAAGTGGCTCAAGGACAAATCAGAAGACAGTAAAGTACATCAAACAGAAGCTGAATGAAAAGGGTCTGTCTGCAGAGAGAAACCTGAACCTGCTCCACTGTCTGAACGAGCTCAATGACCAAAGTCTGCTGGAGGAGATACAGAAGAAGATGAGAGAAGGACATCTCTCTGATAGAGACATGTCTCCTGCTCTGTGGTCGGCCCTGTCCTTCCTCTTACTGTCCTCAGACTCAGACCTGGAGGAGTTTGACCTGAGGAAATACCAGGCCTCAGAGAACGCTCTCCTGGGTCTGCTGCCGGTGGTCAAAGCCTCCACCAAAGTCCTGTGAGTCCAGACTGTTTTTAAACTCTTGTGTGGAGGTTCTAGTCTCTAATGTCCCTCTCTGTCCTCAGTCTTTGTGGCTGTGGTCTGTCTCCTCACAGCTGTGCTCCTCTGGCCTCAGTCCTCAGCTCCTCCAGTCTCACACATCTGGATCTCACCAACAACGACCTCCAGGACTCAGGAGTGGAGCGGCTGTGTTCTGGACTGAAGAGCGCCCCCTGCAGACTGGAGACGCTCAGGTGAGATGCTCCCATGATGCACTCTGCCCCCTTGTGTCCACATGAGTGTAACTGTGTGTCTTTAGTCTGTCTGGATGTCTGGTGTCAGACGGGGGCGGCGCTGCTCTGGCCTCAGCTCTGAGCTACGGCGTCTTCCACCTCAGGAAGTTAGACCTGAGCTACAACCATCCAGGACCCTCTGCAAAGCTCCTGACCGCGCTACGGAACCAGCGCCCCCTGCTGTCTGTCAGGTGAGACCCCCCCCGCCCCCGTCAGTCTGTCAGGTGAAGGTCCTGGTCTCTGGTCTAAACTGGACTTGTGTGTTTCAGGTTGGATCCTGCTGGACAGCGCTGGATGGTCCCAGGTCTGAGGAAGTGTGAGTTTGATTTTATTTGATTTACACATTTATAATTATAATAATTTAACTTTCATCACATCGGATGTTTTTGTGTTTCAGACGCCTGTGACGTTTCTCTGGACCCAAACTCAGCTCACAAATGTCTCCTTCTGTCTGACGACCATCGCACTGTGACCTGTGTGGACGAGGACCAGGAGTATCCAGATCATGAGGACAGGTTCACAGACCAGACTCAGGTCCTGGGCTCCTCCGGCCTGACGGGGCGCTGTTACTGGGAGGTGGACTGGAGCGGGGCCTGGGGGGTTGACATAGCAGTGAGTTACAGAGGGATCAAACGGAGCGGAGAGGAGAGTGGGTTTGAGCTCAGTAATCAGTCATGGAGTCTGGAGGTCCATAAAAGAAAGAGTTCTTTCTATCGTAAAGGGCAAAAACAAAAACTCTCCTCTCGCATCTCCTCAAACAGAGTGGGCGTGTTCCTGGACACTGAGGCTGGAGTTCTGTCTTTCTATCAGGTCCTGTGTGGTGGAAAACTGTTTCACATCCGCACGTTCTGCTGCTCCTTCACTGAGCCTCTGTTTCCAGGGTTTGGACTGTTTCCTGGTTCTAAAGTGACTCTGAATGCACAGCACCCTCTAGAGGACAGATCTGAACACTGAAATGGGTTTCATTCATGAGATCCAGAACTGTGTGTCTGCCCTGCAGTTTGGGAGCTCCCAGGAGAACGTCTTTACATCCTTCCTCTTCTCACTTTACACTGCAAACTTCAGACAAAGCAAGGACAGCTGTGTCCTGCAGAAGTTCTGTGACGACTCTGCCATCGTCAGTCTCATCACGGATGACGGCACAAAGTACAGAGCACTAACACAGGACTAACACAGGACTAACACAGGACTAACACAGGACTAACACAGGACTAACACCGGACTAACACAGGACTTTGTGGACCAGTGTCAGCAGAACCACCTCTTCATCAACACCTGGAAGAGCAAGGAGATGGTGGTGGACTTCTGCAAACACAGAACTTCTACATTGAGAAAGTGGACTCATACAAGTACCTGGAGGTTCATCTGTACAACAAACTGGACTGAACTCACACTACAGATGCACTGTACAGGAAAGACCAGAGCAGCTCTTCCTCCTGAGACTGAGGGGCCAGTCCTGACGATATTCTGCCCCTCTGTGGTGGAAACAAACTCGTGTATGGTGCGGTCGGCTGGAGGAGCAGGATCACAGAGAGCGAGAGGAAGAAGTCATCAAGAAGTCCAGTTCCATCCTGGGCTGTCCTCTGGACTCAGTGCTGGAGGTGGGAGACAGGAGGGTTTCAGTGATGTTTCAGTGAGGTTTAGAAGCTCTTTCCATCCTGCTGCTGTCAGACAGTACAATGAAAAATGCCCTGAACATGTTTTATTCACCTGCAGTGATCAAGTACAATACTGTGTGAGATACAGTCCACCCAAGTCACTTTACGTGCTCTTTGTTTATTTACTGTGTCCATATGGTTGTAAAGAACCACAGTTATAGAAACTTATTGTGCAAATACAATAATCACAATGAAGTCACTTTACTGTTTATTCTTGTTCATGTACTGCACTGTTCACAGCCACAGTCAGAGACACTTCCTGTGTTGAAGCCTTACAGCTTTACTCTGTGGACAGTGTTGTGTTTTTTCTGTTGTAAATCTTTATAGGATAATTTTTCTTGATCTTGTTTTTAATCACATTTTTCTGCTGTTCTTGATATTTTTGTTGCACTGTAATTTGCACACTGTAATTTCCTCTTTGAGGGACAAATAAAAGTTTATTTTATTTTTTTATTTTTTATTATTGCTTATTATCAGATTTCTGTTTAGGACCATTTGAACTCAAAATCTGTCATCACGATCAGGACTGAACAAGACAAGTCAAAAACAAGTCAAAGATGCAACGTCGTCCCCAAAAAAGGATCCTATATCCCCCTTTTTATCCCCAGGACTGTGCAGTTAATCAGATGTGTTTTTAATTTCAAATACTCACTAATCTGCAAATACATTGGATAAAATTAAAGCATTTAGTACAAGAAAAAGAAAATCATGGTTAACTTTTGTATCTGAAATAAGCGGCGTTCAGAATGAGTTTCCGTCTGTCCTCTGAGCTCTGACCAAACCTCAGCGTCTCTGGACTCAACACGACTCTGACTCTGCAGCACCACAAACATCAATCTTATTTTCCCCATTTGAGTTTACTCCTCCTTAAAAACAAATAAAATGACTCGTTTTAACATGAGGCGCAGTAGGATTTTAACCCCCCTGGAGACTGAAGCTGTTTCGATGTTTAGTTTGACTCAGGGGCACTCGACAGGGGTGTCCACTCTCCCTCCTTCTCTTCTCACTCTTGACTCTGCACTGCCACAAAACTCCAGTCCAAGAGTCCGAGTCCAAGGGTCTGAGTCCAAGAATCTGCTCCTCTGAAATGGATTTAATGACAGTGGAGCTCATTATTGACAAAGAATGAAAACTCAGAACGGTCCGTGTCCGTGAATTTCAATTAAGAACGAAAAACAATGAAATGGGAAAACAGTTTGTTAATTTTTCCGTTTTAGTGTCAAACAAAAAAATTGATTTTGGCGTTGACTTTTTGAATTCATAATCGAGGTGGAGCGAAGGATCGGGATTTTGTTTTGTTGTCGCTCACACAGAGATTGTTTTTTGATTGGTGTTATTTGAAATAAACTTTAAATGAAACATTGGAAATAGAGATCAAAATCAGTTTGTTTTTTTTCTTCAGAAAAATGAAATATTATACTTTTCCCTTTTTATTTCACTGAAATATTTCAAGTCTCATCCAAGAATAAACCAGGACTAAACCAGGTCTAAACCAGGTCTAAACCAGGACTAAACCAGGTCTAAACCAGGTCTAAACCAGGACTAAACCAGGTCTAAACCAGGTCTAAACCAGGTCTAAACCAGGACTAAACCAGGTCTAAACCAGGACTAAACCAGGACTAAACCAGGTCTAAACCAGGACTAAACCAGGACTAAACAGGACTAAACCAGGACTAAACCAGGTCTAAACCAGGACTAAACCAGGTCTAAACCAGGACTAAACAGGTCTAAACCAGGAAACTAAACCAGGTCTAAACCAGGTCTAAACCAGACTAAACCAGGTCTAAACCAGGACCAGGACTAAATCAAGACAAACCAGGACTAAACCAGGTCTAAACCAGGACTAAACCAGGACTAAACCAGGACTAAATCAAACCAGGACTAAACCAGGTCTAAACCAGGACTAAACCAGGACTAAACCAGGGTCTAAATCAGGACTAAATCAGACTAAACAGGTCTAAACTAAAACCAGAACTAAACCAGGTCTAAATCAGGACTAAATCAAGACTAAACAAGGACTAAACCAGGACTAAACCAGGACTGAACCAGGACTCAACCAGGTCTACCAGAACTAAACCAGGTCTAGACCAGGTCTAAACCAGGTCTACACCAGGACTAAACCAGGTCTAAACCAGGTCTAACCAGACTAAACCAGGTCTAAACCAGGACTAAACCAGGTCTAAACCAGGACTAAACCAGGACTAAACCAGACTAAACCAGGTCTAAACCAGGTCTAAACCAGGACTAAACCAGGTCTAAACCAGGACTAAACCAGGTCTAAACCAGGACTAAACCAGGTCTAAACCAGGACTAAACCAGGACTAAACCAGGTCTAAACCAGGACTAAACCAGGACTAAACCAGGTCTAAACCAGGACTAAACCAGGACTAAACCAGGACTAAACCAGGACTAAACCAGGTCTAAACCAGGTCTAAACCAGGACTAAAACAGGTCTAAACCAGGACTAAACCAGGTCTAAACCAGGACTAAACCAGGTCTAAACCAGGTCTAAACCAGGACTAAACCAGGTCTAAACCAGGTCTAAACCAGGACTAAACCAGGACTAAACCAGGTCTAAAACCAGGACTAAACCAGGTCTAAACCAGGACTAAACCAGGACTAAACCAGGTCTAAACCAGGACTAAACAGGACTAAACCAGACTAAACAGGTCTAAAACCAGGTCTAAACAGGTCTAAAACTAAACAGGTCTAAACCAGGACTAAACCACTAAACAGGTCTACTAAACCAGGAACTAAACAAACCAAACCAGGTCTAAACCAGGTAAACCAGGACTAAACCAGAACCAGACTAAACCAGGACTAAACCAGGACTAAACAGGTCTAAATAGACTAAACAAACCAGGTCTAAACCAGGACTAACCAGAACAAACCAGTCTAAATCAGGACTAAATCAGGACTAAAGGACCTAAACCAGGACTAAACCAGTACCAGAACTAACCAGGTCCAGGTCTAAACCAGGTCTAACCAGAACTAAACCAGGTCTAAACCAGGTCTAAACCTAAACCAGGTCTAAACCAGGTAAACCAGGACTGAACTAAACCAGGACTAAACCAGGTCTAGACCAGGTCTAAACCAGGACTAAAACCAGGTCTAAACCAGGACTAAACCACTAAACCAGGTCTAAACCAGGACTAAACCAGAAACCAGTCTAAAGGTCCAGGAACTAAACCAGGTCTAAACCAGGTCTAAAAGACTAAACCAGGTCTAACCAGGTCTAAACCAGGACTAAACCAGGACTAAACCAGGTCTAAACCAGGTCTAAACCACTAAACCAGGACTAAACCAGGACTAAACAGGTCTAAACCAGGACTAAACAGTCTAAACCAGGACTAAACCAGGTCTAAACCAGGACTAAACCAGGACTAAACCAGAAAACCAGGACTAAACCAGGACTTAAACCAGGTCTAAAAGATCAACCAGGACTAAACCAGGTCCAAACCAGGTCTAAACCAGGACTAAACCAGGCTAAACAGGACTAAACCAGGTCTAAACCAGGACTAAACCAGGTCTAAACCAGGACTAAACCAGGACTAAACCAGGTCTAAACCAGGTCTAAACCAGGACTAAATCAAGACTAAACCAGGACTAAACCAGGTCTAAACCAGGACTAAACCAGGACTAAACCAGGACTAAACCAGGTCTAAACCAGGACTAAATCAGTCTAAATCAGGACTAAATCAAGACTAAACCAGGTCTAAACCAGGACTAAACCAGAACTAAACCAGGTCTAAATCAGGACTAAATCAAGACTAAACCAGGACTAAACCAGGACTAAACCAGGACTGAACCAGGACTGAACCAGGACTCAACCAGGTCTACACCAGAACTAAACCAGGTCTAGACCAGGTCTAAACCAGGTCTACACCAGAACTAAACCAGGTCTAAACCAGGTCTAAACCAAGACTAAACCAGGTCTAAACCAGGACTAAACCAGGACTAAACTAAACCAGGACTAAACCAGGACTAAACTAGGACAGGTCTAAACCAGGACTAAACCAGGTCTAAACCAGGTCTAAACCAGGACTAAACCAGGTCTAAACCAGGTCTAAACCAGGTCTACACTCTAAACCAGGACTAAACCAGGACTAAACCAGGACTAAACCAGGTCTAAACCAGGACTTAAACCAGGACTCAGGACTCAAACCAGGTCTAAACCTAAACCAGGTCTAACCAGGTCTAAACCAGGACTAAAACCAGGTCTAAACCAGGTCTAAACCAGGACTAAACAGGACTAAACCAGGTCTAAACCAGGACTAAACCAGGACTAAACCAGGTCTAAACCAGGACTAAACCAGGACTAAACCAGGACTAAACCAGGTCTAAACCAGGACTAACCAGGTCTAAACCAGGTCTAAACCAGGACTAAACCAGGTCTAAACCAGGACTTAAACCAGGTCTAAACCAGGTCTAAACCAGGACTAAACCAGGACTAAACCAGGACTAAACCAGGTCTAAACCAGGACTAAACCAGGTCTAAACCAGGTCTAAACCAGGACTAAACCAGGTCTAAACCAGGACTAAACCAGGTCTAAACCAGGACTAAACCAGGTCTAAACCAGGACTAAACCAGGTCTAAACCAGGTCTACACAAGATCTCAACCAGGACTAAACCAGGTCCAAACCAGGTCTAAACCAGGACTAAACCAGGTCTAAACAAGGACTAAACCAGGACTAAACCAGGACTAAGTCAAAACTGAAGAATCAGATTTTATCTTTGTGAGTTCAGAGCGGAGAGTCGTGTTCTGCTGTTGTTTTCAGGGGCGTCGTTTGCCTCGAGGTTGCATTTTTTCGCGTAGGGGGCGTGGTTTCTCCGTAGGGGGGCGTGGTTTTGCTGCAGGGTACGTGGATTCTCCGTAGGGGGCGTGGTTTCTCCGTAGGGGGGCGTGGTTTCTCCGTAGGGGGCGTGGCTTCGCGGTACAGGTGTCATATCTCAGGTGAACAGGTCGGACAGGTGAGGATCTAACAGCGCTCGGTGAGTTCGGATTTTTATCTCAACTTTTATCAAACTGAAAATAAGAACAAATCTGTGAAAAACAATCTGAAACTTTTGGACCAGTTTGGCTTCATTTACTTCATTTCCTGTAAAAAACAAAACAAAAATAAAAACGACACGACTGGATTCAACAGTTTGTCTTCGCTGACTCAGCGAAAATAACAAAGTGTTTTTTTTAAGTTTAAGTTGAAGTTTAAGTTCAGTTTTCCAAATCTCATGTTTAACTAAGTGAATAACTCGATTTTTGTGAGATTTAAACCGTGTTCGATCGTTGGATTTGTGTTTTTTCATTCACATGTTTGAGTTTCTCTTTATTATGACTCTGTCCACATGTTCTGTTCCACCTTGTGATGTCACGAAGCTGTAGTTTTTAAGTCAAGTTTTAGCTTTAGTCAGTGTTGGGGAGTAACAGATTACAAGTACCAGAGTAATCAGAGTACAAATGATGAGTAACTGTATTCAGTTACAGTTACTGTTTCAGTGAGTGGGAATTGGATTACAGTTACTTTGTTGAAATAAATGGATTACACAGAGGACTAAACCAGGACTAAACCAGGACTAAACCAGGACTAAACCTGGACTAAACCAGGACTAAACCTGGACTAAACTACTAAACCAGGACTAAACCAGGACTAAACCAGGTCTAAACCAGGACTAAACCAGGACTAAACCAGGGACTAAACCAGGTCTAAACCAGGAAAACCAGGTCTAAACCAGGACTAAACCAGGACTAAACCAGGTCTAAACAGGCTAAACCAGACTAAACCAGGTTTTAAACCAGGTAAACCAGGATTAAACCAGGCTAAACCAGGTCTAAAACAGGTCTAAACCAGGTCTAAACCAGGTCTAAACCAGGTCTAAAACAGGTCTAAACCAGGACTAAACCAGGTCTAAACCAGGTCTAAACCAGGATTAAACCAGGTCTAAACCAGGTCTAAACCAGGACTAAACCAGGACTAAACCAGGACTAAACCAGGTCTAAACCAGGTAAACCAGGAAAACCAGGTCTAAACCAGGTCTAAACCAGGTCTAAACTAAACAGGATTTAACAGGACTAAACCAGGTCTAAACCAGGTCTAAAACAGGTCTAAACCAGGTCTAAACCAGGACTAAACCAGGTCTAAACCAGGTCTAAACCAGGTCTAAACCAGGACTAAACCAGGTCTAAACCAGGTCTAAAACAGGACTAAAACCAGGACTAAACCAGGACTAAACCAGGATTTAACAGGACTAAACCAGCACTAAACCGGCTCTAAACCAGATCTAAAACAGGTCTAAACCAGGACTAAACCAGGTCTAAAACAGGTCTAAACCAGATCTAAACCAGGACTAAACCAGGTCTAAACCAGGTCTAAACCAGGATTTAACAGGACTAAACCAGGTCTAAACCAGGTCTAAAACAGGACTAAACCAGGACTAAACCAGGTCTAAACCAGGACTAAACAGGACTAAACCAGGTCTAAACCAGGTCTAAACCAGGACTAACCAGGATTAAACCAGGTCTAAAACAGGTCTAAACAGGACTAAACCAGGATTTAACAGGACTAAACCTCCTGCGTGGACCATGTCTCCTTTTCTTCTATCAATAATATTTTTAGTTTGGTTCAGTAAAGTTTGGTCTTTTTCATTTTCTTTTATCAGACAAAACTTCTTATGTGAAGATTTCCTCGTCTTTGTTTCTCTACAGCAAATCAAGTAATCCAAAGTAATCAGATTACATTACTCACTTTAAGTAATTTAATGGATTCTGTTACAAACTACGTTTTGGGGGATGTAATCTGTAATCTGTAGGGGATTACATTTTAAAAGTAAACTTCCCGACACTGGCTTTAGTTCAGTAGAAATCGGTAACTGAAATGATCCAAATATTTCCAGAGAAGCTGTTTGGAGTTTGAAAACACAGCGGAGTTTTTTTTTTGGTTTGAGAGAAAAATTCTAAACTAAATCTGCAGGTTTTGTGAGTTAAACACGAGTGAATGAAAAAAAAACAAAAACAAAACAACAACAAACACAACTGCAGGTCTGTGTGTGACGAGGAAACCACAAGGAAACAAATCCAAGAAGAGGAACTTAAGGAGTGAATAACTGTGATCCTGGGCTCAGTGTTTCCGTCTCACGTTGACGTCGTTTGTTGTTTTTTCACAGGTTGGATCATGATTTCTCTGATGTTTGAAAATAAAGCTTCAGTTGGATTTAAAACAAGCTCGAACGTGTCATTAAAGTTAGAAAGTGCATCTATCACACGCCGCAGAGAGGAATGTGGACAGACCTGAACCCAGCGCGCGGGGAGGGCATCTGACGCGTTTGTCTTGTCTTTTCCAGGACGATGGAGGCAGACGGACCCACTGTGTCTCTCGGGTCAGTCTCTTTATGACCTACTTTTCTGTTATTTTCACAGTTGTTTTATCTGTGACCTCTGTGTGACCTCTGTGTGACCTCTGTGTGACCTCTGTGTGACCTCTGTGTGACCTCTGTGTGACCTCTGTGTGACCTCTCTCTGCAGGGACACAGACCCGTCCAAACCCGGGCCGAGGTCTCAGTCCTTAAAGTCCGACCGGTCCATGGTTCTTCCTTTAGTCTTCAAACAGAAGGACCAGACCAGAACCAGGTGAGGACTTCATCCAGACCGGACGCTGGTCCAAAAAACAAACAAACAAACAAACAAACAAACAAACAAACAAAAACAATGGTCAAAGGAGTTGGCTTGATTTAAATGAGTATTTAAGGCAGGGGGTCCAAACTTTTTTCATCAAGGGCCACATGTCCAAACACAGATGAAGCAGAGGCTGATCCAGGCCACAGACCAGAGCTCAAACTGTGCAGGTTTAACACGTTAGAATGAATAAAGATTGATGTTCATTCTAAGATTCTTAAAACCAAACACAAAATATGAAATATTGGTTTTATCAACGGAGATTAAAAAACAAAACAAAAAACTCGCAGTAAAAAGTTAATTTTTAATTGATTGAAGGTAATTCAGGCCAATTCACCTGGAAGTCTGAGGGCCAAGAAAAATGTGTCTCAGGGCCGCATTTGGCCCACGGGCCATAGTTTGGACATGTCTGATTTAAGGGAATAGGTTCTGAGTAATTTAAAAACTAAAACTAAATCAGACTATAAACTTGTTAATGGTGTAGACATTTTATTTCAACTTTCAATTTCAGTTTTATTTTTTCCATAATTTTAAATTATAATAAAGCACAGAGCAGGTGAACAACACAGAGCAGGTGAACAACACAGAGCAGGTGAACAACACAGAGCAGGTGAACAACACAGAGCAGGTGAACAACACAGAGCAGGTGAACAACACAGAGCAGGTGAACAACACAGAGCAGGTGAACAACACAGCAGGTGCAGAGGTAAATTCCTCTACAAAAACCACAAAGAAAATGAAGCTGCAGTTTGGAATCTGAAACATTTAAAGTATTTACCACATGAACTGGAGGGAGATTTATAACAATAATGACGTCTGTAAAATACAAAGAAATGTCAAAATGACAAAGATGGTCTTGATTTGGTCTCGATGGACCGTGGTCTCGGTCTTGTCTCGGTCTCGACCCTCAGAGGTCTCGGTCTTGTCCTGGTCTCGGGACCCTGTGGTCTTGGACTGGTCTTGGTCTTGATCAGTCGTGACACTAATAATCCCACATTAGACACAAACGTTTATGTAAATATGTTCATGTATCTGACATATGTGATGTTTGACAATATGTGGAAAAAAAAAAACCCAAAAAAACATGGACACCCAAAGAAGCTTGAGTCCATCACCAGTGCATGATTCATTTAATGGTTCAACATCATAATAATAAACACAAAAGGACAAAATAAACTGAAATAACATGAGCTTTAGAAGAAATCAGAGATAGTTTGATGTTGGTCTGCTTCAAAAATGTCTCAAAAGTTGAAAATCGTCTCATGCTCTAATTATCAGTTTGGTAACTGAACATAAACCAAAAATATGTTCAGATGTTTACAATAAAACAAAATCAAATCAAATGCAGGCACAAACTTTAGAAAATGTAACTTATTTGGTCTCGTAAAACTACAAACAAAATGTTCTGACCAAGGAGATCACAGAGGAGAAGAGTGTAGATTATGAAAAGAAGTGGACCCAGGACTGAGCCTTGTGGAACAACCACGAGTGAGAGAAGAAGGTGAACGTACAGAGAAATATTACTCATACAAGTCCAACTTTAGTCCTGGTTTAGTCCTGATTTAGTCCTGGTTCAGTCCTGGTTTAGTCCTGGTTCAGTCCTGGTTTAGTCCTGGTTTAGTCCTGGTTTAGTCCTGGTTTAGTCCTGGTTTAGTCCTGATTCAGTCCTGGTTTAGTCCTGGTTTAGTTTGGGTTTAAAGTTCAGTAAAATCATTGTTCATATTTAGAATGAACAAGGTTCAAACGAGGACTAAACCAGGTCCAAAGGAATGAAGGAGCTGGTGCAGAATGAGGAGGATCAGGTGTCGTGTTCCACCTGCAGGGTGAGGCTCTGCGTGCGGCTCTGTGTGTGTTTCTGCGTGCGGTTTGGCGTCAGGGGTGCATGCCTCAGGTGAACAGGTTGGACGGGGTGAGGCTCTGGCAGAGGTTGTCGAAGTTCAGAAACAAAAAAAATAAATAAATAAAAAAACCCTCCTTGAACCGTCACCTTATCGTGGTGGAGGGTTTGAGCCCGAATGATCCCAGGAGCTCTGTTGTCGGGGGCTTCATGCCCCTGGTCGGGTCACCCAAGGCAAACAGGTCCGGGGGGACGGGTCAGACGAAGAACGGTTCAGAAGCCCCTATGATGAGTTACACTCAGAGGCCAGTTACGTCGCCTGGATTGGCGTCACCGGGGCCTCACCCTGGAGCCAGGCCTGGGGTGGGTGCTCGTCAGCGAGCGCCTGGTGGCCGGGCTCAGCCCGAAGGAGCGACGTGGGGCCGTCCTCACGTGGGCCCACCACCCGTGGGAGGATCCATATGGGGCCGGTGCAGAGAGATCTGGGCAGCAGTCGACGGCGGGGGCCTCGACGACCAGATCTCCGGACATGGAGACTGTGGCTCTGGGGACATGGAATGTCACCTCGCTGGGGGGAAGGAGCCTGAGCTTGTGCGGGAGGTTGAGCGTTACCGACTAGATATAGTCGGCCTCACCTCCACGCACAGTTTGGGCTCTGGAACCCAACTCCTTGAGAGGGGCTGGACTCTCCATTTCTCTGGCGTTGGCCGCGGGGAGCGGCGGCGGCTGGTGGTGTGTGGGGGGCTGGTGTGGCTCATTGCCCCACAGCTCAGTCGCTGTGTGTTGGAGTTCACCCCGGTGAACGAGAGGGTCGCGTCCCTGCGCCTTCGGGTCGGGGACAGGTCTCTCACTGTGGTGTCGGCCTACGGGCCGAACAGCAGTGCAGAGTACTCGAGTACCCGGCCTTCTTGGAGTCCTTGGGAGGGGTACTAGACAGTGCACCGACCGGGGACTCCGTTGTTCTCCTGGGGGACTTCAACGCCCACGTGGGCAACGACAGTGACACTTGGAGAGGGGTGATTGGGAGGAACGGCCTCCCCGATCTGAACCCGAGTGGTGTTTTGTTATTGGACTTCTGTGCTAGTCACAGTTTGTCCATAACCAAACACCATGTTCGAGCACAAGGGTGTCCATAAGTGCACGTGGCACCAGGGACACCCTAGGCCGGAGGTCGATGATCGACTTTGTAGTCGTGTCATCTGATCTCCGGCCGCGTGTCTTGGACACTCGGGTGAAGAGAGGGGCTGAGCTGTCAACTGATCACCACCTGGTTGTGAGTTTGGGTTCGCTGGCGGAGGAGGAAGCCGGAAAGACCTGGCAGGCCCAAGCGTGTAGTGAGGGGTCTGTTGGGAACGTCTGGTGGAGCATCTGTCAGAGGGACCTTCAACTCGCACCTCCGGGAGGACTTCTCCGGATTCCGGGGGAGGCTGGAGATATTGGAGTCCGAGTGGGCTTCATTCTCGGCCTCTATTGTCAATGCAGCTGCTCGGAGCTGTGGGCGTAAGGTCTGTGGTGCCTGTCGCGGCGGCAATCCCCAAACCCGGTGGTGGACACCGGAAGTAAGGGATGCTGTCAAGCTGAAGAAGGAGTCCTATCGGGCCTTGCTGGCTCGGGGGACTCCTGAAGCAGCTGACGGGTACCGGCGGGCCAAGCGTGCTGCAGCCCGTGTGGTCACGGAGGCAAAAACTCGGAGCTGGGAGGAGTTCGGGAGAGGCCATGGAGAAGGACTATCGGACGGCCTCAAAGAGATTCTGGCAAACCGTCCGGCGCCTCAGGAGGGGAAAGCAGTTCTTCACCAACACTGTTTACAGTGCGGGGGGAGAGCTGCTGACCTCGACTGGGGACGTTGTCCGGCGGTGGAAGGAAAACTTTGAGGATCTCCTCAATCCCACCGTCACGTCTTCCGAGGAGGAGGCCGAGGCTGGGGACTCGGAGGCGGACTCATCCATCACCCTGGCCGAAGTCACTGAGGTGGTTGGAAAGCTCCTTGGTGGCAAGGCTCCGGGGTTGGATGAGATCCGTCCTGAGTACCTGAAGTCTCTGGATGTTGTGGGGCTGTCTTGGCTGACACGCCTCTTCAACATCGCGTGGCGGTCGGGGACAGTGCCTCTGGACTGGCAAACCGGGGTGGTGGTCCCTCTGTATAAGAAGGGGGACCGGAGGGTGTGTTCCAACTATAGGGGGATCACACTCCTCAGCCTTCCCGGTAAGGTCTATGCCAGGGACTGGAGAGGAGAATCCGGCCGATAGTCGAACCTCGGATTCAGGAGGAGCAGTGTGGTTTTCGTCCTGGCCGTGGAACACTGGACCAGCTCTACACTCTCCATCGGTGCTCGAGGTTCATGGGAGTTTGCCCAACCAGTCCACATGTGTTTTGTGGATCTGGAGAAGGCATTCGACCGTGTCCCTCGTGGTGTCCTGTGGGGGGCGCTCTGGGAGTATGGGGTCCGGTCCCTGTATGACCGGAGCAGGAGCTGTGTTCGTTGCCGGCAGTAAGTCAGACCTGTTCCCGGTGCATGTTGGACTCCGCCAGGGCTGCCCTTTGTCACCGGTTCTGTTCATTGTATTTATGGACAGAATTTCTAGGTGCAGTCAGGGGCCGGAGGGTCCGGTTTGGGGACCACAGGATTTCATCTCTGCTGTTTGCGGACGATGTTGTTCTGTTGGCTTCATCGAGCCAGGACCTGCAGCACTGGGGCGGTTTGACCCGAGTGTGAAGCGGCTGGGATGAAGATCAGCTCTTCTAAGTCTGAGGCCATGGTTCTCGACCGGAAAAAGGTGTCTTGCCCTCTCCAGGTGGGTGGAGAGTCTCTGCCTCAAGTGGAGGAGTTCAAGTATCTCGGGGTCTTGTTCACGAGTGAGGGGAGGACGGAACGTGAGATTGACAGGGGGACAGGTGCAGCTTCGGCAGTGATGCGGTCGCTGTATCGGACCGTTGTGGTGAAGAGGAGCTGAGTCGAAAGGCGAAGCTCTCGATTTACCGGTCAGTCTTCGTTCCTACTCTCACCTCTGGTCATGAGCTCTGGGTAGTGACCGAAAGGACGAGATCACAGATACAAGCGCTCGAAATGAGTTTCCTCCGCAGGGTGTCTGGGCGTCTCCCTTAGAGATAGGGTGAGGAGCTCAGTCACACGGGAGGAGCTCGGAGTAGAGCCGCTGCTCCTCCACGTCGAGAGGAGCCAGTTGAGGCTCAGGCATCTGTTCCGGATGCCTCCTGGACGTCTCCCTCGGGAGGTGTTCTGGGCATGTCCCACCGGGAGGAGGCCCCGGGGAAGACCAGGACACACTGGAGGGACTATGGACTGGCCTGGGAGCGACTCGGGGTCCCCCCGGAGGAGCTGGAGGACGTGTCTGGGGTGAAGGAAGTCTGGGAGTCCCTGCTTAGGCTGCTGCCCCCGCGACCCGGCCCCGGATAAGCGGACGAAAATGGATGGATGGAAAAATCAGTGACAAAGAATTCTGAAACTTCACTTCATTTGAAACATTTGGACCAGTTCAGGTTCATTTGCTTTTTAGGACAAGATTATCTAGATATAAAAATCTAATGTGGACCTCTGTGACCTCTGTGTGACCTCTGTGTGACCTCTGTGTGACCTCTGTGTGACCTCTGTGTGACCTCTGTGTGACCTCTGTGTGACCTCTCTCTGCAGGGACACAGACCCGTCCAAACCCGGGCCGAGGTCTCAGTCCTTAAAGTCCGACCGGTCCATGGTTCTTCCTTTAGTCTTCAAACAGAAGGACCAGACCAGAACCAGGTGAGGACTTCATCCAGACCGGACGCTGGTCCAAAAAACAAAAAACAAACAAACAAACAAACAAAAACAATGGTCAAAGGAGTTGGCTTGATTTAAATGAGTATTTAAGGCAGGGGGTCCAAACTTTTTTCATCAAGGGCCACATGTCCAAACACAGATGAAGCAGAGGCTGATCCAGGCCACAGACCAGAGCTCAAACTGTGCAGGTTTAACACGTTAGAATGAATAAAGATTGATGTTCATTCTAAGATTCTTAAAACCAAACACAAAATATGAAATATTGGTTTTATTTAAAAAAAAACTTGCAGTAAAAAGTTAATTTTTAATTGATTGAAGGTAATTCAGGCCAATTCACCTGGAAGTCTGAGGGCCAAGAAAAATGTGTCTGAGGGCCGCATTTGGCCCACGGGCCATAGTTTGGACATGTCTGATTTAAGGGAATAGGTTCTGAGTAATTTAAAAACTAAAACTAAATCAGACTATAAACTTGTTAATGGTGTAGACATTTTATTTCAACTTTCAATTTCAGTTTTATTTTTTCCATAATTTTAAATTATAATAAAACACAGAGCAGGTGAACAACACAGAGCAGGTGAACAACACAGAGCAGGTGAACAACACAGAGCAGGTGAACAACACAGAGCAGGTGAACAACACAGAGCAGGTGAACAACACAGACAGGTGAACAACACAGAGCAGGTGAACAACACAGAGCAGGTGAACAACACAGAGCAGGTGAACAACACAGAGCAGGTGAACAACACAGCAGGTGCAAAAACCACAAAGAAAATGAAGCTGCAGTTTGGAATCTGAAACATTTAAAGTATTTACCACATGAACTGGAGGGAGATTTATAACAATAATGACGTCTGTAAAATACAAAGAAATGTCAAAATGACAAAGATGGTCTTGATTTGGTCTCGATGGACCGTGGTCTCGGTCTTGTCTCGGTCTCGGTCTTGTCTCGGTCTCGACCCTCAGAGGTCTCGGTCTTGTCCGGGTCTCGGGACCCTGTGGTCTTGGACTGGTCTTGGTCTTGATCAGTCGTGACACTAATAATCCCACATTAGACACAAACGTTTATGTAAATATGTTCATGTATCTGACATATGTGATGTTTGACAATATGTGGAAAAAAAAAAAAAAAAAACATGGACACCCAAAGAAGCTTGAGTCCATCACCAGTGCATGATTCATTTAATGGTTCAAAATCATAATAATAAACACAAAAGGACAAAATAAACTGAAATAACGTGAGCTTTAGAAGAAATCAGAGATAGTTTGATGTTGGTCTGCTTCAAAAATGTCTCAAAAGTTGAAAATCATCTCATGCTCTAATTATCAGTTTGGTAACTGAACATAAACCAAAAATATGTTCAGATGTTTACAATAAAACAAAATCAAATCAAATGCAGGCACAAACTTTAGAAAATGTAACTTATTTGGTCTCGTAAAACTACAAACAAAATGTTCTGACCAAGGAGATCACAGAGGAGAAGAGTGTAGATTATGAAAAGAAGTGGACCCAGGACTGAGCCTTGTGGAACAACCACGAGTGAGAGAAGAAGGTGAACGTACAGAGAAATATTACTCATACAAGTCCAACTTTAGTCCTGGTTTAGTTCTATTTTAGTCCTGGTTCAGTCCTGGTTAAGTCCTGGTTTAGTCCTGGTTTAGTCCTGGTTTAGTCCTGGTTCAGTCCTGGTTTAGTCCTGGTTTAGTCCTGGTTTAGTCCTGGTTCAGTCCTGGTTTAGTCCTGGTTTAGTCCTGGTTCAGTCCTGGTTAAGTCCTGGTTTAGTCCTGGTTTAGTCCTGGTTTAGTCCTGGTTTCAGTCCTGGTTTAGTCCTGGTTCAGTCCTGGTTTTAGTCCTGGTTAAGTCCTGGTTTAGTCCTGGTTTAGTCCTGGTTAGTCCTGGTTTAGTCCTGGTTTAGTCCTGGTTTAGTCCTGGTTCAGTCCTGGTTTAGTCCTGGTTTAGTCCTGGTTTAGTCCTGGTTTAGTCCTGGTTTAGTCCTGGTTTAGTCCTGGTTTAGTCCTGTTCAGTCCTGGTTCAGTCCTGATTTAATCCTGGTTTAGTCCTGGTTCAGTCCTGGTTTAGTCCTGGTTTAGTCCTGGTTTAGTCCTGGTTTAGTCCTGGTTTAGTCCTGGTTCAGTCCTGGTTTAGTCCTGGTTCAGTCCTGGTTCAGTCCTGGTTTAGTCCTGGTTTAGTCCTGGTTTAGTCCAGGTTTAGTCCTGGTTTAGTCCTGGTTCAGTCCTGGTTTAGTCCTGGTTTAGTCCTGGTTCAGTCCGGGTTTAGTCCTGGTTCAGTCCTGGTTTAGTCCTGGTTCAGTCCTGGTTTAGTCCTGGTTTAGTCCTGGTTTAGTCCTGGTTCAGTCCTGGTTTAGTCCTGGTTTAGTCCTGGTTCAGTCCGGGTTTAGTCCTGGTTTAGTCCTGGTTCAGTCCTGGTTTAGTCCTGGTTCAGTTAGTCCTGTTTAGTCCTGGTTTAGTCAGTCCGGTTTAGTCCTGTTTAGTCCTGGTTTAGTCCTGGTTTAGTCCTGGTTTAGTCCTGGTTTAGTCCTGGTTCAGTCCGGTCTCTGGTGTGTGGTTTAGTCCTGGTTTAGTCCTGGTTCAGTCCTGGTCTAGTCCTTAGTCCTGGTTTAGTCCTGGTTTAGTCCTGGTTTAGTCCTGGTTTAGTCCTGGTTTAGTCCTGGTTCAGTCCGGGTTTAGTCCTGGTTTAGTCCTGGTTTAGTCCTGGTTCAGTCCTGGTTTAGTCCTGGTTTAGTCCTGGTTCAGTCCGGGTTTAGTCCTGGTTTAGTCCTGGTTTAGTCCTGGTTTAGTCCTGGTTTAGTCCTGGTTTAGTCCTGGTTTAGTCCTGGTTTAGTCCTGGTTTAGTCCTGGTTTAGTCCTGGTTTAGTCCTGGGTTTAGTCTGGTTTAGTCCTGGTTTAGTCCTGGTTCAGTCCTGGTTTAGTCCTGGTTTAGTCCTGGTTCCTGGTTTAGTCCTGGTTTAGTCCTGGTTTAGTCCTGGTTCAGTCCTGGTTTAGTCCTGGTTCAGTCCTGGTTTAGTCCTGGTTTAGTCCTGGTTCAGTCCTGGTTTAGTCCTGGTTCAGTCCTGGTTTAGTCCTGGTTTAGTCCTGGTTTAGTCCTGGTTCAGTCCTGGTTTAGTCCTGGTTTAGTTTGGGTTTAAAGTTCAGTAAAATCATTGTTCATCTTTAGAATGAACAAGGTTCAAACGAGGACTAAACCAGGTCCAAAGGAATGAAGGAGCTGGTGCAGAATGAGGAGGATCAGGTGTCGTGTTCCACCTGCAGGGTGAGGCTCTGCGTGTGGTTCTGCGTGTGTTTCTGCGTGCGGTTTGGCGTCAGGGGTGCATGCCTCAGGTGAACAGGTTGGACGGGGTGAGGCTCTGGCAGAGGTCGTCGAAGTTCAGAAACAAAAATAAAAAAATAAAATAAAATCAGTGACAAAGAATTCTGAAACTTCACCCGGATTTGAAACATTTGGACCAGTTCAGGTTCATTCGCTTTTTAGGACGAGATTATCTAGATATAAAAATCTAATGTGGACCTCTGTGACCTCTGTGTGACCTCTGTGTGACCTCTGTGTGACCTCTGTGACCTCTCTATGACCTCTCTCTGACCTCTGTGACCTCTGTGTGACCTCTGTGTGACCTCTGTGACCTCTGTGTGACCTCTCTCTGACCTCTGTGACCTCTGTGACCTCTGTGTGACCTCTCTCTGACCTCTGTGATTTCTCTGTGACCTCTGTGTGACGTCCGTGTGACCTCTGTGTGACCTCTGTGTGACCTCTGTGTGACCTCTGTGTGACCTCTGTGTGACCTCTGTGTGACCTCTCTCTGCAGGGACACAGACTCGTCCAGACCCGGGCCGAGGTCTCAGTCCCTAAAGTCCGATCGGTCCATGGTTCCTCCTTTGGTCTTCAAACGGAAGATGAAGACCAGAACCAGGTGAGTCCATCCAGACTGGACCAGGATCCTGGCTCAGACTTGGTCCTGAGGACTTTGGTAAAATCAAGTCCAGGTTTAACCAAACGTGAGGCTCGTGTTTTTCTACAGACTGACTATGAATTTGTCTCTGAAAAGTGACTGCTCCATGGACCAGAAAGCATTCTTCAGTCAAGAGCCTCCGGAGACCCACAGCAGACCAGACCCAAGTCCAGACCCAAGTCCAGAGCCCAGGTGAGTCTAGACCAGACCTGGACAAAAGTTCAGGCCGGATCTTCCTAATCCAAAAACGTTCATTTTGTCTTATTCTCCACATGAACGTCTGGAGTTGTTTTGTTAAAGACAGAGCAGTAGGAGGTGTGTTTGTGGACGTGTCGGTCCTCGTGTTGGTGGTGACGCGTCGTGTTGTTCTGTTGTTACTTCCTGTGGTCAGTCTGGACAACAGTAGAACTTCAAACACTGGATCAGGGAGGACAGTGAAATCAGGAAACGGGGCACAAACAGCTTTAACCGTGATGACGGAGCGTTCCTCCTGTCACACACCTGAGACTCCCTCCTCCAGAGACACCGGCCCACAGGAAGTTACAGGAAGTAACAACGTCTGATGTACGTCACCACCAACACCTGGGACAGTTCTGAAGATGCAGCAACAGCTGAAACATGTAACAAGTACATTTTACTGTTCTGTCTTTGAAAAAGACCCCAAGAAGTTAAGGTAGAGTCTAGATCTTCACTGAATCCTTGTCTGTGGTCCACAGGGAGGATCCAGAGGGTCCAGAGTCTCAGAGTTCAGAGTCTGAAGTGGACGAGGTGTTTCAGGTGAGTCCAGATGTTCTCCTGTAGTGTCAGTGCTGTAGCCCTGTGACCTCTGACCCCTGCTTGTGTCCCAGGTTCTGGAGGAGCAGGTCCTGAGGTTTGTCCAGCAGCAGCTGCAGAGGCTCCACAGGCTCCTGGCCTCAGATTACCCAGAATGCTCCGAGAGTGAGGAGGAGGAGAGCAGCGAGGTTCTGAACATCACCCTGGACTTTCTGAAGAAGATGGACAAAGAGCATCTGGCCCAGCGTCTGAGGAACAGTAAGTTCAACCTCCTCCTGCTCCATCAGCTCCTCTGAGCTCATCTGTGGGTCATTAGAAGGTTCCAGGTGTTAGAGCGAGTTCAGACTCACCTTCACACTCTGAGTCTGTGGGTTTTACCTTTGACACAAACTGACAGACGAAGTGAAGCCTGTTCCAACTTCATGTAGCAGATGTTTTAGAGCAGCACAAACATGAATCTGGATTTGTGACCTGAGGGACAAAGTTCTACATTCTGTTCACAGAAGTGAAGTAAAGGAGCGAGACGTCACCCTGAGTGTTCGGTTTCAGTCAAATGAAGCTCACAGTGGTGGCGCTGACAGGAGTGAATGTGGAGTCTTTATAGTAGGAATAGAAATGTGTTTACAGACAAAAGAACTAAATAGATCGGATTAGACTTCCTGTTTGTAACGTGGTGACACTTGTGTCCATTTATTTACACGTCTATTATTCTGTATGTGAAAAGTTTATGAAGAGATTTTTGATTCCAGGTCTTTAGTTTTTGTGAGGACACAGAGGACAGACTGATCTGGTCTCATCCTCGTAGTTTAACAATGAAAGTGCAAAATGGAATCAAAATAGATCATTCTAAACATATCTCAGCACGACCTTGACGGCCAAATTAGACCCTGTGGAGGACCAAGTTTGGCCCTCAGGCCCCACAGTGCACAACTGCTTTAATTTATATCTTTTATCTTTATCTCTCTGAATCAGCTCGTCTCTTTCCACTGCTCGTCCCCCACACGGCCTGAATGTGTCAGTGTTGTTTGTGTGTTTCAGGCTGTGCGACGGTGTGTAGAGACAAACTGAAGTCTGATCTGCAGCAGAGGTTCAACCGAGTGTTTGAGGGCGTGGCTAAAGCAGGAGACTCCGCCCCCCTGACCCAGATCTACACAGAGCTCTACATCACAGAGGGCGGAGCCTCAGAGGTCAACCAGGAACATGAGGTCAGACACGTGGAGGCTGCATCCAGGAGACCGGCCGCTCCAGAGACCATCACATGTGAAGAGCTCTTTAAACCCCGCCCACATTCACCACAGCCAATCAGGACGGTGCTGACGAAGGGCGTGGCCGGCGTGGGGAAAACAGTGCTGACTCAGAAGTTCAGTCTGGACTGGGCTGAAGGCCGGGCCCACCAGGACCTCCAGCTGCTGTTCCCCTTCACTTTCAGAGAGCTCAATGTGCTCAGAGACTCACAGTTCAGCCTGGTGGAGCTGCTGCACCACTTCTTCAGTCCATCCAAAGATCTCAGCAGCTTCCAACAGCTCCAGGTGCTCTTCATCTTTGACGGTCTGGACGAGTGCAGACTTCCTCTGAACTTCAAACAAGCCCGGGTCCTGAGCGACCCCACAGAGTCCGCCTCAGTTCAAGTGCTGCTGGTGAACCTCATCAGGGGGAAGCTGCTTCCCTCCGCTCTCCTCTGGATAACCACGCGCCCCGCCGCGGCCAATCAGATCCCTGCTGAGTTCATCTCCATGGTGACAGAGGTCAGAGGGTTCACCGACCCCCAGAAGGAGCAGTACTTCAGGAAGAAACTCAGAGTCCAGGCCACAGCCGTCATCTCCCACATCAAGAGCATCCGCAGCCTCCACATCATGTGCCACCTACCGATCTTCTGCTGGATCCTCTCCACAGTTCTACAGAAGCTTCTGGAACAAACAAAAGAACCAGAGCTGCCCCGGACTCTCACACAGATGTACGTCCACTTCCTGGTGGTGCAGGCCAAAGTCAAGAACATCAAGTATCACCAGGGATCAGGGGAGGACCTTCACTGGACTCCAGAGACCAGGGAGATGGTGAAGTCTCTGGGAAAAGTGGCCTTTGAGCAGCTGCAGAAAGGAAACCTGATCTTCTACGAGAGTGACCTGAGCGAGTGTGGGCTGGACGCTGCAGCGGCCTCACGGTACTCTGGAGTGTTCACACAGGTCTTTAGAGAGGAGCCAGGCCTGTACAAGGACAAGGTCTACTGCTTCATCCATCTGAGTGTGCAGGAGTTTCTGGCTGCTCTTCACGTCCATCAGACCTTCACCGAGTTTGGGGTCAATCTGCTGAAGGTCAAAACACCTTCAGTCTTCAAAACTAAATCTAAACTATCAGGTCTCCACAGCTCTGCAGTGGATGAGGCCTTACAGAGTCCAAACGGACACCTGGACCTGTTCCTGCGCTTCCTCCTGGGGCTGTCTCTGCCGACCAATCAGAAGCTGCTGCAGGGTCTGCTGACTCACACAGGAAGTGGCTCCAGGACCAATCAGAAGACAGTAAAGTACATCAAACAGAAGCTGAATGAAAAGGGTCTGTCTGCAGAGAGAAACCTGAACCTGCTCCACTGTCTGAACGAGCTCAACGACCAAAGTCTGCTGGAGGAGATACAGAAGAAGATGAGAGAAGGACATCTCTCTGATAGAGACATGTCTCCTGCTCTGTGGTCGGCCCTGTCCTTCCTCTTACTGTCCTCAGACTCAGACCTGGAGGAGTTTGACCTGAGGAAATACCAGGCCTCAGAGAACGCTCTCCTGGGTCTGCTGCCGGTGGTCAAAGCCTCCACCAAAGTCCTGTGAGTCCAGACTGTTTTTAAACTCTTGTGTGGAGGTTCTAGTCTCTAATGTCCCTCTCTGTCCTCAGTCTTTGTGGCTGTGGTCTGTCTCCTCACAGCTGTGCTCCTCTGGCCTCAGTCCTCAGCTCCTCCAGTCTCACACATCTGGATGTCAGTCTCAACGCCCTCCAGGACTCAGGAGTGAAGCTGCTGTGCTCTGGACTGGAGAGCGCCCCCTGCAGACTGGAGACGCTCAGGTGAGTCGGCTTTCACAGCGGTGGAGTGTGGGAGAATCATGCAGAGTCTGAGATGTTCCGTCTGATGTGGGCTGCACTTTGTCCTGAGCCACACTCGACTCAACAGGCGTTTTGAGGAGGTCTGAGTGTGAGGAGCTGGATTTTAAAGTTTTAAGACGACACATAGAAAAACAAAACAAAACACTGAATAAGACTTTTGACTGGTGCTGTTCAAACATACTGACACTGCGAGTCTAAAGTTTGGACACAATGTCAATATCTTTAGGGTTTTTTTCTTACTACTTTCTACATTTTACATACATACGGAAGACATTAAATATATTTTGTGGTTATTATCTGTGAAACAACACATAAACATACAAAAGGACTGTTTTTGTTGGTTGCACCGGTAAGAAACAGTCCCACTACCGACGACAAAGTTTCTGTTTCAGGGAGCCCAGAGCGGTGGGCAACAGCACTGTCACGGGTTCGTCCAAAATAAATGTAAAGAAATGATGGCTCAGTCGAAAAAAAACTTCACTTAAGTGCGTTTTTATTCACACCGCAGCCCAACGTGCAAAATTTACAGTGGAAGTGATGAAGTAGAGTCAAAAAAGCCAAAAACAGAAAGACCAGAGGATGATTTAAGGATTTAACATAAGCAAATGAACGTAATTCAACTTGGAAATAAACGTAATAAAAATGACTTAAAGGTTGTATGGAGGATTTTTTTTTGTTTCAAGTTGTCAGTGATAGATTATAGATGCAGGAGCCTTGTAATTATGATGACCAAAAAAAAAGAGAATAAAAATTCATCAACTCTGGACGTGGTGGGGCTAAACATTTGCCAATAGATAACGACACTGCCTCGTTATCTGTGAGCTGACAGGCTGTCAATCAAACTCCCTACGTTTCTAGTGTAACTGACTTGCCTGCGCCGCCGGTACGTGGTTTACGTACGACTGTCACACAGTCCACAGACGCAAGACGCACAGACGCTGTTTACTCCACCAACGCAACAGTTCTTAGCGGCTTTTTTTACCTATATCTTCCTCACAGTTTGCACAAAGTTTGTTGCGATGGCGACAAGAATCCAGGAGCAGTTCGCCGCAAAAGAAAGTCCGTTTTTGAGGTCGCTGAAAGAAGACGACAAGGGGAAAAGCAGCGAAGCCAAACTAAGGTGATTCTTGTAGATTCATTCCAGCGATGGCGCGACTGAAGCAGACGAAGGGTCTAAAGACTGAAGCACTGGTCCACAAATTACTCCTGGACAGGAAACTTCTGCTGATTATGAAAACGTACTTTATTTCCAAGAGCTAGACAAACGTTTTTCAGGACACGAAAGCGATATCCTATGTCTGAAAACGTAATTTTCAAGGCAAAGAAAGAGTCCGCTTGCTGCTGCGTGTTGTAGTTAGTTCATTCGCACTGAATCTCCGCGCAACCTTCTCTGCTCCCCTTTCCTGCTCCTGTCCCCACTGCCTGATCCACTCTTCTCCCTGCTCCTCACTTCTCGTCCGCGAACGAAATGTCCGCGCACCCGCTCCCCCCGCTCCTCACTTCTCCGCCTTGCCTAACCAACACTGTAGTTAGTTGTTTACAAGTCATGTGCAGCACCGGCTGTAAACAAACCTGTTTCTGGCGTAAGGAGGAGGCGGGAGGAGGTGTTTCTACGTAGGAGCTGTGGGGGGGGGGGTTTACGCATGCGCAACATTTGAAAAAGGACAAACAGTCGCTGGATTTCTCGTTCCTTGGAAAATCCTCTATACAACCTTTAAAGAATCCCTCACATAGTTATCCTCAATTCAATGTAATAACAACAAAAAACTAAATAAACACACAAATAGACCACAGTGTCCAAGTCCAAGATCAGGCGACCTTCCTTAACGCGCTGCTATGCACTGTTAGACCACGACCACGAACTGGCTCGGTTTGGCCCCCGAACCAGAGAAGGGCGAGGATACAGCTGCAGGTAAAGAGTGTGTGGGGCGAAGGCGTGGAGTGTGCACCTCGAACGCACCACCGGAGAAAACAGTCAGCGGTAAAACAGTCTGTGGGAGTACAGGACCACGGGACAGTTCACTCTCGAACCAGAGGAAGACGCACCGGTCGGGTGATGACGGGGCAACTACGGGCGCTCCGTCACAAACACTTAAATACTTTCTGAGGTCCAAGCCCTTCCCCAAGAACAGTTTGCATTTAGGGCTGGACACGTAACATCTTTACATTAGCGTGTACAAAGGTACCTAGAGCCTTCTTGTGAGAGAAAGGATTAAACAAATAAAAGTGTGGCTTTTAACGTTTCTTCCAGTGTATTTTGGATAACGAAAAAAAAAAACAAAACAATACCCAATACTAAAATGTACTAAAGACTCCCCCAGGGCTGCCCTTTGTCACCAGTTCTGTTCATTGTTTTTATGGTCAGAGTTTCTCGGTGCATCAGGGGCCGGAGGGGGTTTGGTTTGGGGACCACAGGATCGTCTCTGCTGTTCACAGATGATGTCGTCCTGTTGTCTTCATCAGACCAGGACCTGTAGCTCTGGGGCGGTTTGACCCGAGTGTGAAGCGTCTGGGATGAAGATCGGCTCCTCTGAATGCGAGGCCGTGGTTCTCGACCGGAAAAATGTGTCTTGTCGTCTCCGGGCGGGTGGAGAGTCTCTGCCTCAAGTGGAGGAGTTCAAGTATCTCGGGGTTTTGTTCTGGAGTGAGGGGAGGACGGAGCGTGAGATTGACAGGTGGACAGGTGCAGTGTCGGCAGTGATGCGGTCGCTGTATCGGATCGTTGTGGTGAAGAGGAGCTGAGCCCAAAGCCAAAGCTCTTGATTTACCGTCAGTCTCCGTTCCTCCCCTCACCTCTGGTCATGAGTGAAAGGACCAGATCGACGACACAAGCGGCTGACGTGAGTTTCCTCCACAGGGCGTCTCCCTTAGAGACAGAGTGAGGAGCTCAGTCACACGGGAGGAGCTCGGAGTAGAGCCGCTGCTCCTCCATGTGAAGAGGAGCGGTTGAGGGGAGGACATCTGTTCTGATCCTCCTGGACGTCTCCCTCGGGAGGTGTTCAAGTCCCATGGGGAGGAGGCCCCAGGACACGAGGGACTATGTCTCTGGGCCTGGGAACATCTCGGGGTCCCCCTGGAGGAGCTGGAGGAAGTGTCCAGGGTGAAGGAAGTCTGGGAGTCCTTGCTTAGACTGACCCAACCCCAGATAAGAGGAAGAAAACGGTTGGATGGAAATACTAAAATTTCCACCACAATAGACACTTCTGTTCACGGCCTTAATGAAAGAACTAATGCAAACAAAGTTCTTAGAAAAAAGTACCGACTTTTAGACTTTTTATTAACTGCAGAGCAGGAAGTCCCTCTGTCCTCAGACTGTTTTTAAACTCTTGTGTGGAGGTTCTAGTCTCTAATGTCCCTCTCTGTCCTCAGTCTTTGTGGCTGTGGTCTGTCTCCTCACAGCTGTGCTCCTCTGGCCTCAGTCCTCAGCTCCTCCAGTCTCACACATCTGGATCTCACCAACAACGACCTGCAGGACTCAGGAGTGGAGCGGCTGTGTTCTGGACTGAAGAGCGCCCCCTGCAGACTGGAGACGCTCAGGTGAGATGCTCCCATGATGCACTCTGCCCCTTGTGTCCACATGAGTGTAATTGTGTGTCTTTAGTCTGTCTGGATGTCTGGTGTCAGACGGGGGCGGCGCTGCTCTGGTCTCAGCTCTGAGCTACGGCGTCTTCCACCTCAGGAAGTTAGACCTGAGCTACAACCATCCAGGACCATCAGCAAAGCTCCTGACCGCGCTACGGAACCAGCGCCCCCTGCTGTCTGTCAGGTGAGACCCCCCCCGCCCCCGTCAGTCTGTCAGGTGAAGGTCCTGGTCTCTGGTCTAAACTGGACTTGTGTGTTTCAGGTTGGATCCTGCTGGACAGCGCTGGATGGTCCCAGGTCTGAGGAAGTGTGAGTCTGATTTTATTTGATTTACACATTTATAATTATAATAATTTAACTTTCATCACATTCGGATGTTTTTGTGTTTCAGACGCCTGTGACGTTTCTCTGGACCCAAACTCCGCTTACAAACGTCTCCTTCTGTCTGAGGACCATCGCACTGTGACCTGTGTGACGGAAAAGCAGAAGTATCCAGATCATGAGGACAGGTTCACAGACTGGCCCCAGGTCCTGAGCTCCTCCGGCCTGAGGGGGCGCTGTTACTGGGAGGTGGACTGGAGCGGGGCCTGGGGGGTTTCTATCGCGGTGAGTTACAAAGGGATCAAACGGAGCGGAGAGGGAGACGAGAGCGGGTTTGGAGACAACGCTCAGTCCTGGAGTCTGAAGATCGGTGATGGAGGTTACAGCGTCTGCCACAAGCGACGGGAAACACACATCCAGGACTCGCTCATCTCAGGACGAGTGGCCGTGTTCCTGGACTCTGAGGCCGGAGCTCTGACCTTCTATAAGGTTTCCTCTGATGGAGGTCTGTGCCACCTCCACACCTTCTCCTCCTCCTTCAGTAAGCCTCTGTTTCCAGGGTTTGGACTGGGGTTTGGTTCCAAAGTGACTCTGGTGAAGCTGGGAACAGGAAACTGAAATGAGACTCTCAGATCTCTTCAGATTTCTGTTTAGGATCATTTTGACCTCGACGTCTGTCACCAAACTCCTGGACTTAGTCTCTGTTTATATGACGAGTTTCTGGACAGAAGATACAAAAGTGGCGTCGCGTCTTCACTTTTTATCCACGTTTAGACAAGAGTTTTTGGGAGGAAATCTGTGTACAGACAGTGACGGAAAAGTGTGTGGAATTTGATTGGGTGGATGACATGTGACGTAAACGTGTACGTGACCTGAGCAGATCTGACCAGAGTTTTGGGTCTTGGGCAGTGGAGACGGGAAAACTACAGCAGAGCGTCTTTCACACTCTGGAGGTGGTTTCAGATTTTTGTGTTTTTAAGCCTCAAAAAAGCCGTCACCATCTAAACGAAAGGCACTTCCCATAAAATATTTTGTAATTTTTACCCACAAATGTTCTTGTGTAAACAGATCTTAAGCCAGGACTAAACCAGGACTAAACCAGGACTAAACCAGGACTAAACCAGGACTAAACCAGGACTAAACCAGGACTAAACCAGGACTAAACCAGGACTAAACCAGAACTAAACCGGAACTAAACCAGGACTAAACCAGGACTAAACCAGGTTGGCCTCAAAGATATTCTGGCAAACCATTCGTGTTCTTGGGACGGGAAAGCAGCTTCACTAACACTTTTTAGAGTGAAAACTTTACAGAGCGAGAAATCCGACCTCGACTGAGAAAGTCTGTTCCAGGGACGAGAGACGAGAATCTGACCGAGAGTCGAACCTCAGATTGAGGAGAGACAGAATGACAGAAGCTGTGTTCACTGCAATAACCTGATCTAGTGCTAGTTCAGATCTGGTTTAGTCCTGGTTCAGTCCTGGTTTAGTCCTGGTTTAGTCCTGGTTCAGTCCTGGTTTAGTCCTGGTTCAGATCTGGTTTAGTCCTGGTTCAGATCTGGTTTTGTCCTGGATTAGTCCTAGTTTAGTCCTGGTTTAGTCTTTGTTTAGTCCTGGTTTAGTCTTGGTTTAGTCCTGGTTTAGTCCTGGTTTAGTCCTGGTTTAGTCTTTGTTTAGTCCTGGTTTAGTCTTGGTTTAGTCTTGGTTTAGTCCTGGTTTAGTCTTGGTTTTAGTCCTGTTTAGTCTTTTTAGTCTTGGTTTAGTCCTGGTTTAGTCTTGGTTTAGTCCTGGTTTAGTTCCTGGTTTAGTCTTTGTTTAGTCCTAGTTTAGTCTTGGTTTAGTCCTGGTTTAGTCTGGTTTAGTCCTGGTTTAGTCCTGGTTTAGTTCTGGTTTAGGTTTAGTCCTGGTTTAGTCTGGTGGTTTAGTCCTGGTTTAGTCTGGTTTTAGTCCTGGTTTAGTCCTGGTTTAGTTTTAGTCCTGGTTTAGTCTTGGTTTAGTCCTGGTTTAGTCCTGGTTTAGTCCTGGTTTTAGTCTTGGGTTTAGTCCTGGTTTAGTTAGTCCTGTTGTTTAGTCTGGTTTAGTCTGGTTTAGTCCTGGTTTAGTCTTGGTTTAGTCCTGGTTTAGTCCTGGTTTAATCCTGGTTCTTGGTTTCCTTTGTCACTGATCTTGTTCATTTCTTTTCTGGACAGAATGTTCCGTTCTGTTTTGAGTCTGTGGACCTGGTCTGTTTTTATTTTTTATTTTCATATATATTATATATTTTTAGCTCCGGTCTGTATTTTTTTTAAACTGAACAAACTGTAAACTCTTGCTCTGCTTCTGTGACGTCGGCGCCTGAAAAAGCCCCGTGTGTTTAAATGTCCGTTTAGATCCGGGTTTGTGTTTAAGCGGTTCGTCCTCCAGCTCCCGCGGCTCTCGATCCAAACGCATTTGTTCAAACATGAGCGAACATTTTAATATTGGATTATGACTCAGCGTTAGCGTCAGAGAAACTAATGAGCGTCTGAGGAAAACCACATTAAACTCCTTTAAATCCACTTAGACCCGGACCAAACCCAGTCCGGTCTCTGGTCCACACCTGAGACCCACATCTGAATAATATTTAAATCAGGCAAATATTTACAACAACAGAGACGAGGCCTGAACGCACCTCAACACCGAGTCACAACGCCACACGACCGAGGGCCACACGGGTTCTCCTGGTCCTGGCTCAGGTCTGGTCCAGTCCGGGTTCTCCTGGTCCTGGCTCAGACCTGGTCCTGATTCTCCTGGTCCTGGTTCAGGTCTGGTCCTGATTCTCCAGGTCCTGGCTCAGGTCTGGTCCTGATTCTCCTGGTCCTGGCTCAGGTCTGGTCCAGTCTGGGTTCTCCTGATCCTGGTCCAGTCTGGGTTCTCCTGATCCTGGCTAAAGACCTGGTCCGGTCTGGATGGAGAACATTTCACAAAAGACGACATTGTGCTTGTTTTTGTGTTTAAATCAGGAGGATCCAAACTTTTTCCATCAAGGGCCACAGCCGTAAACTGGTTCTCAAAACAGTGAATAACTGAACTCTGTTCATGTTTAACACGTTAGAAGGAGCCGTCAATCTTTATTCACGTTGAGATCCTTAAAACCACACACTGAATATTAAATAGTGCAATAAAAAGTTAATTTTTAATTGATGCAAGGTAATTTGGACATGCCTGGATTAAATCATCGTAGTTCCTGGATCTTATGCCCACATCCATAAATCAAAAACGACAGTGACAAGGCGATGGCGGTAGTGTCCGCTGAGTCCATGCAGAACTATACTTCGCCCTTTACTCGCCCTCTCACACTCTCAGGTCACTCTTACCCCCCCTCTCACACTCTCAGGTCACTCTTACCCCCCCTCTCACACTCTCAGGTCACTCTTACCCCCCCTCTCACACTCTCAGGTCACTCTTACCCCCCTCTCACACTCTCAGGTCACTCTTACCCCTCCTCTCACACTCTCAGGTCACTCTTACCTTCACTTTCACACTCTCAGGTCACTCTTACACCCACTCTCACGTCACTCTTACACCCCTTGTAACACTCTCAGGTCACTTTTACAAACCCTCTCACACTCTCAGGTCACTCTTACCCCCCCTCACACTCTCACGTCACTCTTACACCCCTCACTCTCAGGTCACTTTTACTCACACTCTCAGGTCACCCCCCTCACTCTCACTCACTCTCACCCCCCTCTCACACTCTCAGGTCACTCTTACCCCCTCTCCTCTCACACTCTCACGTCACTCTTACCCCCCCTCTCACACTCTCAGGTCACTCTTACCCCCTCTCACACTCTCAGGTCACTCTTACCCCTCCTCTCACACACTCTCAGTCACTCTTACCCCTCCTCTCACACTCTCAGGTCACTCTTACCCCCTCTCACACTCTCAGGTCACTCTTACCTTCGCTCTCACACTCTCAGGTCACTCTTACACCCCTTGTAACACTCTCAGGTCACTTTTACAAACCCTCTCACACTCTCAGGTCACTTTTACAAACCCTCTCACACTCTCACGTCACTCTTACTTCCCCTCACTCTCAGGTCACTTTACACCCCTCACACTCTCAGGTCACTTTACTCTACCCTCCCCTCTCACACTCTCAGGTCACTCTTACCCCCCTCTCACACTCTCAGGTCACTCTTTCAGGTCACTTTTACAAACCCTCTCACACTCTCAGGTCACTTTTACAAACCCTCTCACACTCTCACGTCACTCTTACGCCCCCTCTCACACTCTCAGGTCACTTTTACAAACCCTCTCACACTCTCAGGTCACTCTTACCCCTCCTCTCACACTCTCAGGTCACTTTTACACCCCTTGTAACACTCTCAGGTCACTTTTACAAACCCTCTCACACTCTCAGGTCACTTTTACAAACCCTCTCACACTCTCACGTCACTCTTACGCCCCCTCTCACACTCTCAGGTCACTTTTACAAACCCTCTCACACTCTCAGGTCACTTTTACAAACCCTCTCACACTCTCAGGTCACTTTTACAAACCCTCTCACACTCTCAGGTCACTCTTACGCCCCCTCTCACACTCTCAGGTCACTTTTACAAACCCTCTCACACTCTCAGGTCACTCTTACCCCCCCTCTCACACTCTCAGGTCACTCTTACGCCCACCCTCACACTCTCAGGTCACTCTTACCTTCACTCTCACACTCTCAGGTCACTCTTACACCCCCTCTCACACTCTCAGGTCACTCTTACCCCCCTCTCACACTCTCAGGTCACTCTTACCTTCACTCTCACACTCTCAGGTCACTCTTACACCCCCTCTCACACTCTCAGGTCACTCTTACTCCCCCTCTCACACTCTCAGGTCACTCTTACCCCCCTCTCACACTCTCAGGTCACTCTTACACCCCTCTGACACTCTTTGCACTCTTACTCTCACACTCGGTCACTCTTACACCCCCTCTCACACTCTCAGGTCACTCTTACACCCCCTCTCACACTCTCAGGTCACTCTTACCCCCCTCTCACACTCTCAGGTCACTCTTACCCCCTCTCACACTCTCAGGTCACTTCTTACCCCCTCTCTCTCACTCTCAGGTCACTCTTACCCCCCTCTCTCACACTCTCAGGTCACTCTTACACCCCCTCTCACACTCTCAGGTCACTCTTACCCCTCCTCTCACACTCTCAGGTCACTCTTACCCCTCCTCTCACACTCTCAGGTCACTCTTACACCCCCTCTCACACTCTCAGGTCACTCTTACCCCTCCTCACACTCTCAGGTCACTCTTACTCCCCCTCTCACACTCTCAGGTCACTCTTACCCCCCCTCTCACACTCTCAGGTCACTCTTACACCCCCTCTGGCACTCTTTGGTCACTCCCAGTCACCCCAAAGACTAAACTTGAGCTTTGTGGGGACCGTGTGTCTTTTGTCGCTGCCCCTCGGCTGTGGAACCATTTACTTTTAGAGTTTAGAGGCAGAGTCTGTACCTGTTTTTAAATCACTCCTAAAAACACTAAAACAAGTGATGTACATTTCTGGTTTTTGAGTATCTTATTGTTTTCTATATTTTTTAGTTGGTGTTATTGTGTTTTTGTTGTACTGCGATTATCTTGTGTTTGTGTACAGAACTTTG